TCCTGACCTCGTTCATTTTGTTGCTGAATGGTGCTCTGTAAAGTATGCATTTTATGTCAAAGATATTATGGACTCCATAGACAAGAAAGTTCATGAGAAATTAGATGAAGAAGAACTTGAAGATACAGTAGAGAATGCTAAACCTTTGTTCGAACAAGAAGTTAGAAAAATGCGCGAAAAACAATTAGAACATGAACGTGAGATATGTTATGGTTATAGAGATTCTCCATACGAACTAGACCAATGGGAACAAGAAGATTTAAAGAGAGAATTTAGAGAATATGAACTCGCTAAGATAGCATTAGAAGCTGCAGAAAAGAAGTTAAAAGTTTGGGGTCGTTTTGTACAAAAATATTGTGAGTAAATGAACCATTTATTTTTGTCATAAATGACCAAAAAATAATTTTTAGGGTAGATGGGTATATCTAACCTCATTTCTACCCTCATTTCTACCCTCATGAATTTTCATGAATTTCCTTAAGATAGAAAAAATAAAGTTAGTTTTATTTTTATTTATTTTTTATTTTGTATAAAAGATATGATTTCAACAATCGGCAGAACAACAATTCAAACAACAGCACCAAACTCGTTAGTCATGAATCCAACATCTATGTTAGTAGAGATGAAAAGCTTCATTCCTTCTTCATATAGTTTTGTAACAGAAATACAAAGAATAAAGCAAGAACTTTTAACAAGTAATTTAGACTGTACCGCACAGGATGAAGAAATGAAGAATATCTTATGACATGCAGGACATTATTGACCATTTACCCAAATTGCCTGAAATCCAACAACAAAAGCTCACTATTCCTGAATTCGATGAAATAGAAGTGAAACCAACTGACTCAGTAGAAATAAAGAAGTTCATACGAAAGGTATATTCTGAGTTTCTAGGATATCATTGCAACCATAAAGTTATGGATAAAGATTGCGATATGGTATATAAGAACATCTCTGACATATATAAATCGGAGGAATTGAAGACATACGACAACTTTGTTTCATTAGTTGCAAAATGTGTATGGCAGATAAGAGATAAAGATAGAAGAGGTAAAGTATGGAATGGACAAATAAAACCAGCAGCCTTTGAGTTAAAGAAAACCATTGACGCCTTGGTTGTTCTAGCTGGTCAAATTTCAATGTATAACGCAAAAATGAATCCGCAATGTTCAAAATGTAAAGCAGCAATGAGGAAATATAACTACTCCATCAAAGAGATAGAACGTATGAGAAACGACTATGCAGACTTAAAGAAAGAAGCAGAAAAACCAGCAGAAAATAAAATGGACATGTTAGCATTTCTGAACAAAAACTATCCAACTGCTGACGATTTCCTTCTATCTGACGTCAAGAAGAAGTATAAAGAAACCTTCGGCATTGTTAAAACTTTTGATATCCTCAGCGAAGAAATAGAAGCTACAAAACTGTTTAGAATCTCACGAATTCATAACGTTTACCATGTAAAACGGTTATAAATAATGAGGGTAGAAATGAGGTTAGATATACCCATCTACCCTAAAAATTATTTTTGCTGAATTCAGCACAAAATTCTGAGTAAAATGACATAGGGCATGTGTCAAACCGTTGAGTTTTCACAAATTTTAAAAATTGCTGCGGAAAGTTCGTCAAAAAAGTGAAGGTTCCCGATGGTTTCAAACCGCCATACTTTACATGAAGATAGTTTACAATGTCAACTAAATATCATGTACGATAGAAATGGTTATGTAAAGTTTACATTTTGTAAAGTCTTGTCCTGATTCAAGACAAGTCTTGTATTTTTTCAAGACAAGTCTTGCACTTTTTCAAGACAAGTCTTGTATTTTTTCAGAACAAGATTTCCACTTTTTAGTCGGTTTTTCTTGTAAAGTTCTCAAATTTGAGAACAATTGTCCTGATTCAGAACAAGTCTTGTATTTTTTCAAGACAAATCTTGTATTTTTTCAAGACAAATCTTGCACTTTTTCAGGAAATCCTATCGTCCAACTTTACAAATGTCACTTTTTGACATTACTGTATTTTGGTCTGGGAACAACTTTCTCTCAATTTTGTCACTTTTTGACATTATTGTATTTTGGTCCGGGAACAACTTTCTCTCAATTTTGTCACTTTTCCCCGGGGCGTGTGTCAGAAAATGTCCAAAATCTTTATAGCCGCGTATCTCCTTCAATTCTTGACGGTTTGACATGTATGACACACCATTCGATTCAGAATTTTGTGCTGAATCTTATCGACTTCATTTGTTCGTGACTTCTTTTCAAATATGTAACCATGAATTTTTAACATTTCCTTAAGACAGAAAAAATAAAGTTAGTTTTTTATAAAATATTTTTTTTATCCGGAATATAAAGACAGATATGTCAACAAAAGAGAACACAACAACAGTTATAGTCCATGAAGCTATAAATGAAGAACATGAATGCATACAATATAACAAACAATTGCGTCTAATTCGTTCGGTCAAAGACGATATGTACCAAATGCAAAGTATTTTGACGGCTTGTTTTTTTCCAGATACCAAACATACAGATGATTGGTTCAAAAACCAAAGCACACAAGAACTTTTGAGCGAAGCACAGCGAGACCGACTTTTTTCGGGGTCGCCTAAAACTCATGAAAATCGTAAAAATTTGCCAAATGGTTTGAGAGGTTGGTATGTACATAGACTATTAGTAAATGCAGTTGCAATGTGGGCTTCACCACGTTATGCTTGGAATATTTACAAACTTCTTGACGATTTACATACAGAAATGAGAAAAGAGATGGAAAACAAGCTTGAAGCAAAAGACAAAAGCATTCAGAAAAGAATACCACGTTCGGTACCAAAAGGAAAGGAAAAGAACTATAAGTATATGATTTATACTGAAGATATGGAAGACAGTGACATGGTTATGTTGCATTTAGTCAGAAGAAACAACAAAAGCTTTTACGACCTTGCTAAGATTTACAAATCTGACAGAAATTGGTTCTATCGCGAAAACTTACCGATTTCAATGACTCCGAATGAAGATGTGAAACAAATAGTTCAAGATACGTTACCTCAAACACACTATGATATTAAAGGTTGTACAATACTTACATTCAAAGAAGATTTGCCATTGTTAAAGGAAAAAATAACAGAGTATTTTGACAACTTCAAACAAGTAGGGTAGATGAACTCTTTATTTTTCAAGCTTGACCATTTACACAATTTGAACTTTGTTTGCGTAGATATGAATTCTGAAAGAAGTATGAGGGTCTTGTATGACTTTGTACTTCTCCCATAGTTCATGTCTGTCAAACTTACCTGCCATGGACTCTTTCATAAGTTCCATGAAATTGTCTTCGGACAATCCGGGGAAAAGTATTATGTCAGTAAGTATTCTTTTAACATCCTTACTTAAACTCTTGGCTGTCTGTACACATATTACGACTGAAATGTTAAAGTGCCTAAGTTTCTTAAGAATTCGACACATGTCTTGTTCTCTCTTCTTTAACAAAGGATGAGATGCAAAGTCGTCTAAGATAAGAAGACACCTATGAGGGTACGTTTTCCAATCGTAAGATTGCAATTTCTTCGAAATGTATTCTATCTCTTTCTGTTTGTTTCTGAAGTGTTTCTTCTCTAATATTCTCTGCATTTCCTCATTAGGGTCTTTGAACTTAGAATTTATATACTCATTTATAGCATTGTACTTCAAAACCCTTCTTTGGTACTTCTTTATCCAATCTAACAACTCAGTATCCTTTATACATACTAACTTAGACTTCTTTATAATATCTTTGAACGAATTGACGGTTTGGTCAAATTGACCAGAAGTCGAACAAATAACAACCAACTCATAGAATGGGTTCTTCTCATCTAGTTCTTGTTGTTGTGCAGCCATTTTAAGATAAGTGAAAGTCTTACCAGACCCAGGTGGTGCAATTAGACCTGTTATACCATTCTGAGCAAATAAGAACTTTTCATGTATAGGCTTTATCTGAGCATTTTCTAACTTCCTCTTGTTCTTGTTTAAAACATTCTCAAATTTTTTGTCAATGTCAGCAAACTTTTTTTCTAACATATTTTTAGAAAAATTAAAATTTTTATCTTTTAGAAAATGTCTAGCGATTTCGCTATCTATATTCGAGACAAGCTTTTCGACAGCAAAACATCTGTAGACCATAAAACCTTACATAGTGTAAACAAGAAAGATGAATTTGTTCTAAAGTTCTGTTTCTGGGAATATGACAAGAACCATAAAACATTAAGCAGAGAAGTCTTAAAATTTGTCAATGACAGACTTGTTGACAGAGATGACGCCGATTGGAAAGATGAAGTCCAACAAAAGTTCTTAGAATGCAAAGAAGACACATGCGCTGTTCTTGAAGATGAAATAGAAAACAGAATAGAAGAGCTATTAAAGGACAAAGAACTTTTACATAGATATGGTTCTGAGAAATTTGACATATCTCCACCAGAGAAGAAGAAGAAAGAAAAGAAAGAGAAAAAAGTAGAAGAGAAGAAAGAACCTGAACCAGTTCCAGAGAAAAAGAAATTTGACATGTAAAAATAAAATTTTATTTTAAGACATTTCTGGGTCAATGTCAATGTTCTCTTCCTCTTTAGGAGTAAACACTGGCTTAGACTCTAATAGCTTTTTACCCAATTTACCTTGAACTTCTACAACTTTAGACACATAATATTCATAGTCATCTGTCTTCTTTGGTTCATAAGGTATAACAAGTTTGTATGCTTTACCTTCTTCAAGTTTTGAGAACTTTCTGTCAAAATTTTCTTTGACTGTTAACAAACCTTCTATCTCTAAGTCTTCAAATGTTGCACCACTTTTTCTGACGACTGCAAACTTCACTGGTGCAATGTTCCAAATTTTGTCAAATGTAGACTTTTCAAAATTGTAGAAGTAAACATTCAAATATGCGAATGGAGCTAACTTATCTTTGACTTCTGTCATGTACTTGTTTACTGAAATATATTTCGTCATCTTTTCTATCGGATAAAAAAATATTTTTTTTAAAATTTACTCAGAAAAAATTTTCTTTGTATATACACCATTCTGAACATCTAAAAGACTTTTGACATTTGCCAAGAATGTACGTTTAGAAGCTGCCATATAACCATATTCTTGACAATATTGTTTATATTCATCATATAAAGACTTTTCATCTAAACACTCAAAGTCGCTTTCTTCTATGAACAGTTCATATACACTCTTGTTTGCTTCTAACAATGTTTGTCTCTCTTCGGTATGTGGAATTTGTCTTGGATTGAACTTTGAAATATCTAATGTCATAAAGTATGAAAACAAATGGTTGTAAAACTCAGGTGTCAAATATTCTGACAAAGCGTCAAAATATTCTGTATCTTGCATATGAGAATCTGACGTTCTGACAACTACATATCTTCTGTCAGAACTTTCTAACTTCATCGGAACAGCATTGTTTGAAACCATAATGAAGTTTGCAACATTCTCACAAACTCTTGAGTCTTTATACTTTCTTTCAACAACTCCAACTTTATCTGTTATAAGACTCTTCAAAGCATCTGAGTTTAAAACTTTTGTTGTATCTATACTTTGAAGTTCATTGCAAACTATAAGTTTCATATTCTCAATTGAAGAGTTAAATTTACCGCAGATGTTTTCTAAGTTTGTCATATTAGGGTTCGAATAACCTTCTAACAGTTTGCATAAGATATCTGTAAAGAATGTGTTCTTACCTGTTCCTTGTTTTCCAATTATAATGAGAGCAGTTTCATTCTTAGCACTTGGATGTTGTAAGATGTTTGCAAACCAACATAAGATATACTCATAAACCTTTTCGTTTCCATTGCATATAATTTCTTTGACATGGTCTAACCAAGCTTCTATAATATTTTCTTTCCATTCTACTTGTTCATATTTATATCCAGTGAAGATAGAATAGAAGTTTGGAGAAGGTGTATAAAACTTTATACCACGAACTGAAAAATCTTCAAGTTTTGACAATAAGATATCCCAAGCATCTAACATCTTCATGCCAACTTGTACGACTTTTATTTTCTTAAGTTTCTGTCTACATTCTTGTTCTGAAACTATTGTCGCTTTAGGTTTGTTAAAGACTACATCCCATTCTTTCATAACATAACATTCTGGGGCAGAGTCGACATAAATGACTAAACGTTTCAAATTCTCGACTGCTTTGTTATAGTCTCGAAATGGACACATATTTCTGAATGCTTGGAAGTCATAAAAATCTGAAACATCTATTCTGTACATTTTTATAAGAATAAAAAAATATTATTTTTTATTCTTGACTTTGTTGTTCCATTTGTTGCATTTGTTGTTCTTGAGCTATTTTTTGTTGAAGTTGTTCTTGTAATACAATACTTTCACCAGTTGCATCTTCCAATTCGAAACTTTCTGCCGTCATTGACAAATACATAGGACATAAAAGTTTTACAGGAACAAAGTTTGCGTCAACTAATGTCAACGTTATACTTGCCAAAGTGTTTGAGTTCACTAAGGTTGAAAATTCTGCATTCGAATGAACAATAGGCAAACCAGCAGAGAAAGTATTGTTTATACGCATAAGTATCTTTTGGTCATAATAGTTTCTGTCGACATTCGAATAACACTTTGAACCTAAGTTTGAAACAATATATAAGATTGGTGTGCTTAATGTCAATGGAATAGACATTCCTTGTATGACACCTTTTCCTGTTATAGGAAACTGTTGGTAGTAAAAACCAGATATAAGTTTTGTATTATAGCTCATATCATTAATAGTAAACTCAGTCGGACATCCAAACATAATGAAACCTGCTCTAGTTGCAGCACATGTTACACCCGTACTTAAAGTATTAAATAAGTCAACAAAACCTGTTGGTGGTATATCTGAGTAAGTATCTTCAAAGGAGTATTTTTTACCATTCACAACAATAAAGTCTTCTGGTGTCAAAAGAGCAAAACAGGCTTTAGTCGTCATTGTGTTTAAGGTTAGTTTACAATATCGTCCTTGAGGACTTTGTAAGTTTGTTGTTATAGAATTATATGACTCAGGGTTTTTAGTCGTAATAGTATAAACCATTATGTCTTCTGCCATTTACTTAGCAAATAAATTTTAATGAAATGTTGTGGTCGTCAAATATTTTTATAACGTCTGGGAAACTATATTTTAAGTTCAACGTTTCACCTCCTTTCATAACGTATATCTTGTCAATGACATTATATGAAACACCACAGCAACCAATGTCGGGTTCTATTTCTTTGATGTTTATATCGTCTGCCTCTGTCAAAAGTTTCAATAGTTCTTTCAAAACTTCATGAGGTGCAATGACATATGAGTTCACTTTTACAGGGTTGTGTTCGACCAAGTTTAACATTATACTTAAAGCTTGACAAATCTTCTCCTGAGTTTGAAGTTTGTCTTTCAGTTGTTGGTAGTCGTTTCGAATATCTGCAACAGAACTTAAGTCTCTGTTAACTTCAGGATATGTTGGTTCTTTTACAGGAACAATTGTTATACCATCTTCGTCTTCGTATGGTTTCCCCACTTCAACATCTCTGTCTTTGACATTGACAATAACACTTTGACTGTTTGTTTGAGTTGGTGAATTTAACTTCACATCTGCCACCGCCATTAAACCTTTTGAAACACTTACGCTTCTATTTTTCGGAAATGACATTTTACTTAGAATAAAAAGATGGACGTATTCGGATATCTTATTGAATTGAAGCAGAACAAAGTTTATACTCACAAACAATACAAATACATTGACAGAATAGTTCTTTACACAAACAATGGAAAATGTTATAGAATAGCAGTCTTTGCTGAACCTAAATATTTTCATAAAGCAAAGAAAGTTGGTATAACTGAAATGGTGAAAGTTCTTGAAGCAGACAAAAATATAACTTCAAAACTTACAGATATTTCTAAAGGTAAGTTTATCTTACAATATTATGTCAAAACTGGCGTACTGTCAATATTTGACGGAGAGAAGTCAGTTCAAGAACAACTTACTGACCTGCTGCCAAAATCTGCTCGATGGAAGCTGTCGTTATGCCAATCTGAGGAGCCCCAGCAGGCTTCATCGAACGAATCTTCAAAAGAGCATCTTCCGTGAAAAGTGCTATTGGTTTTGTAAACTTCTTTGCTCTCAATTCATCTGGACCGTCTCTTTCACCAGTATATTGTATTTGAACTGTACCAACAGTTGAAATACCACCCATAAAGTCTTCTGAGTCAGCAAATGGAATGCCAAGCCAAAAGTTTGAACGGTCTCCATTTGTATATTGAGTTTTTTGACCTCCTGTATGAGTCCATACTTTCACATATGGCATAATAGAACTTTGCATTTCAGGGTTAATAGTTATTGTGAAGTTGTTGTTAAAGTTCATAGCATCTAATATCAAGTTGTATGACCTCATATCCTCAACTGTAGAATATTCTTCTCTTGGATAATATTTGCCATCTATGTTTATATGATATTTAATACCAGGGTTGTAGAAACAAGAATAGTCATTTATAGTTCGTCTGAACAGTACAAACATAGTATCTGCATGTTTCATTGCAGTTGTTAAAGCAATATCTGTTCTTGCACCTGCGGCTCCTGGATTTTGGTTTCCAACTTCACCTGCAAAGTCTTTGACAGATATTTGGTGTATAGGGAACATAAGTGGAACTGCAATATATTTGGCAGCTAAAGCATTTGAAATATCTGGGTCCAACATATAAACGGCAAGTCTGCTTTCTATTCTCTTGCATTCAAATTTTTCGCATGTGAACTTAACTGGGTCCCATACGTTTGCACCACCATTATCCTTCATATAGTAGTTTACTTCATTGTTGAAGTTTGAGAAACCAAAGTCTAAGTCAACTTTGTTTTTGCAAAAGGCAGCGAATGTTTCCTGAGTTGTTGCTTTGGCTTCAATAGTGAATGGGTCTTGTGTTGGTGCAATGACTAAGTTATTTTTGCTTGGAGTAAGTTCGATAGAAATTTTTCCTGCCCAGTTTGGCAAGTATCTTAAAAACCTGAAGATGAGGAAAGATGACAAAGGAACTCTAAGTTTCAGTTTTACTTTGGTTACTGCTGCTGCAGTTTGTCCAGAAAGGTTAACATAAACTCCTGGAACGTTAGGGTCAAGTCTTCTTATTTTCTCAATAGTTGCATACTGGTCTGTTTGTTCTCTAGCTTGTGGTTGTACTGAGTTTCTCAAAGCGAACCATTCATAGTTTGCCCATGTTACTGTTTGAACTAAGTCAGAGTTAGAATATATCTTATATCCCATGAAAACTTCTGGAGCATATTGGTATCCGACATAGAAAATTCCATTGCAACCTTTCTTGTCAGACAACTTGGCAGAAGGTTTTATTTCAATGTCTTGTTCCACGTATAAGAATGAGTTGTCAATAGAAATAATGTGAAACCTGTCGCAAGCAATATCTACTGTTGTTGAAGAACCTTCTCCAAACTCACCTACGTTTCCATAAGAAACAGCAGTTGTATATTCGTAAGTTCCAGGAACTATTTCTGACCTTCTAATGGCATTGTCGCATTCGTTATACCATTCGGAAACATTTCCGTTCATGGCATCCAAAACTGTTGGCGTTATATTCTGAGCGGCGTACATTTCATATGGGTAAAAATATAGAATAGTTGGATTTATATGTCATAATAGAACCCACTCGGACCAAGCTTTACTTTCTTCCTGACTGAGTTTTTAACTGAATCTTTAACTCTTCTTTTTCCTTCATTGCCACTACTTTCACTAGATGAAGCTACTTCTTCACTACTTTCACTTTGTTCTACTCTTCTCTTCTTCTTTGGTGTCGCTTTTGGTAACTTGCCCTCTGCTTCAAGTTGTAGCATCTTTGCCTCATGTTCACCTAGTATGTTGTAAATTTCCCATGTCCTTTTTGCCTTTGGGCTCTGGCCGCCCATCTCAGGTAACCTATATCCTAGAAAGATTTTGTCATAGTTTGTATTTGAGTCTTCGCATATTGTTTGCATGACTCTTTCCTGAGTTTCCGGTTCAAGCTCTTCAAACAGAGCTTGTCCATATGGAATAAGCTCGTTTCCAAATATATGTTTTTGTAGCCATTCTGGTTTTCTTTCCATGTAACCAATAATATCTTTTGTGAATGGGAAAGCTTTTACCCAACGTTTCAGTCTTGCGTCATTTATTTCTGTAGTTGGTTTTATTTTGTCATGGAACATGTTTTTCAATACTAACATTTCATTTGGTACTGTCCATTTGAGTTTTCTTAAATATTCATCCCTTCTCATTTCATTGTCTGCAAAGTAAGTTTTTATGACATTTTGCAAACTTTCGTTTGCAAGATCATGTACAATAGGTTCTCTTCCTTCTCTCTCCCTAACTCTCTTTCTAAACTCTTCACCAAATATACCATCTTTATGGTTCTGTGTAGTTCTTTGAGATAAATGTTCTAGAACGTCAGGTGTTATATTTCCCTCAGCCATGTTCATTTCATACTGGTCCAAAATATCTGCATCTTTCATATCTTTCAATGGCATTAAAGCCGCGCTGAAAATACCCGTTATATCTGGTTCACCATTCACTTCCATTGCGTCTACAACTTCTTGGAATTGTGGTTGTAAGTTTATGAACCACCTATCCGGGTTAGCTTTATGACCCCATCTCATTGTAGTTCCATAGTCTGCAGAAACAAAAGTAGGTTTGTTTCCATATTGGTTAGGTTCTGAATGAACTTTAAACAATGTTTCATTTCTATATGTTTTGTTGAAATTTAACCTTTTATTTTCACCGAGTTCAGCCAAAGATTGAACGTTATATGGTCGTAAGTAAAAAGGATTATTGTATTTGCGTACATTTTCTTTCAGTACTTCCATTCTATGCTGAATATTTTCATCTGATGTTGGAGTCTTTTGTATGTCGGTGAACATTTTTCGATATCCTTCTACTATGTCAGCCGAATTTTTCTTAGACTCTTGGAAAGATTCCATATTCTCCTCATACTCTTGTTGAGGGTCAAGATTTTTCGGCTGTTCCAAATCTTCATCTAGTTCTGTGAAGTTAGTTTCCAAAGGAGGAACTTGTTCGTTTCCTTCAGGCTCTTCTAGCTGTTGTTGCTGAACTATTTCTTCCATGTCTGGTTGTATCTGAACTTCTTCCTGTTGAGTTTCTTGTACCTCATCTGCTGGCATTTCATATATTCCGAGACCGTTTTTAACAAGTTCCCTATCTAAGTCATCCGGACTCATAAACCTTTCTTCTTTCGTTCCGTCTCTATTTTTTACGCGTTTCATGAAGAGAGTTGAATTATCATTTAGCTCTGACATCCAATATCTCGGAGTAAATTCATCCATGTCATTTGGATGATATGCTATTAAATCATATCCCTTTGCGAGCTTGTATTTTCCAGGTTTGAGATTATATCCGATTTTATGCTGAATCATAAAGCTAAATAGGTTCGGGTCAGTATTTCCTTCCTTGAACTTTCTAATAGCTTCTTTATATCTGTCACTAAAGTTAAGAGTATCTGGGTAACCATAATCTTCCTTAAGCATTTTTAAGAATTCTTGGTTTCCTTTTTCTCTACTTCTTTTATGTCTTTGCTCTGTTTGTGGTTGTTGTGCTGGATTTTGAACTGTTGGTTGTTGTGCTGGATTTTGAACTGTTGGTTGCTGTGCTGGATTTTGAACTGTTGGTTGTTGTGCTGGATTTTGAACTGTTGGTTGCTGTGCTGGATTTTGAACTGTTGGTTGCTGTGCTGGATTTTGAACTGTTGGTTGTTGTGCTGGATTTTGAACTGTTGGTTGTTGTTGTTGTGCTGGATTTTGAACTGTTGGTTGTTGTTGTGGTGCTGGATTTTGAACTGTTGGTTGTTGTGTTGGTTTTGGTGCATGCCTGTGTCTGTGTCCATGTGACGATGTAAATGTTTTAGGTAGTCCTGGTGCAGGTGCTTCTCTTGGAGGGTTTGGTGGTATATAAGTTCCACCAGCTGGCACATATGTTCCATCTGCAGCATAATGTCCTACCTGACTTTTCGTTTTTAAGAAAGCATTTACTAGGTCTGTTTTGGTCTGTTGTAACTCTTTTTCTTGACTTTCCACAACAGCTGCTCAAACGGCATCATAGGCACTTTGAACTGCCTGTCTCGTTGCTGCATCTGTTATTTTCGTCATATTTTGTGCTACTTCTCTTAACTCTTTGTCGAAACCTTCAGACTTCAGTTTCTTTTCAGATGAGAAGTCGTTCACTAGTTTCACCTTACTATGAAGAGCTTCGAAGGCATTCTTAAAGTCAGCATTCATTAAAGCTTCATTTGAACTGTCTTCATCCGCTTGTATTTTTGTCCTTATTGACCCTATAAGTTGGGCTGCTTTAGCGTTGGCTTGGGCATCTAACCAGTCATTATTAGCTTTTATAATATCTGCGCTTTTCATTGCCTTTTGCATGGCTGCGTCGTTATTTTTACTTTCTTGTGCTAAGTTTTCATACTGTACGGTTTGGTTTTGCAACTGTAAAAGTTTTTCTGCCTTTACATTTGCTTCAACTTCTTTTTTATACTCATCGCTATCCATATATGTCTTCATGGCTTTTTGTTTTATCTCTTCATCTTTCAGTACTTTATATTGAGTAGTATGGTTTTTCAAATTTATAACATCTTGTTCCATTTTTGCTACTTCTGCTGCTTTTTCTGACACTTTTTTCGCATATTCCTCTGTACTTAGTTCTTTCAGTTGTTCTTCTTTCATCTTTTTCTCTACGTTTAACTCATTGAGTTTCTTTGTCTGTCTGTCATATTCTAGTTTCTTTTCGTTTTCACTTATTTGTTTCTGTATGTCTATGTTTGACTTTTTGACATCTGTTATTTGATTTTTGAGTGAACTCAAATTCATTTGACTTTGAGGGTTATAAGCTGTTCCGTCTGCAGCTCCACCATAGCCTGCCATTTTCGCTAAAAGTGCCGCTCTTAAACCCCCACTCTGTGCACCAATAACTCTGTTTAAAAGCATAGGGTTGCTTTGTTATATACGAAAACGATAAAAACAGTTTGACAGAAAAGTGACACCTTTACGTGTCAAAAATATAAAAAGTGATATTTTATTCATCATTATCTTCTTCATAATTTATTTCATATTCTTCGTCTTACCAACAAAAGATGGGAATGTGAACAATTGCGGGCAATTTTTAGCCATTTTGGCTTGGAACTAGAGCCTGCGAGGTACATGGATAGTATCAGTACCTCACAGGCTCTAGTTCTCTATATGGCGCCGAGAAATTTTGGTGAAATGTGGTCGCATTTCACCAAAATTTTTTCGGCGCCATAGGATGAATTGGAGGTGAGAGATATTATTTCATACAATACTACTCTCACCCTCCAATTCCCAGCCAAAATGGCTAAAAATTGCCCGCAATGTGAACAATTGCGGGCAATTTTTAGCCATTTTGGCTTGGAACTAGAGCCTGCGAGGTACATGGATAGTATCAGTACCTCACAGGCTCTAGTTCTCTATATGGCGCCGAGAAATTTTGGTGAAATGTGGTCGCATTTCACCAAAATTTTTTCGGCGCCATAGGATGAATTGGAGGGTGAGAGATATTATTTCATACAATACTACTCTCACCCTCAATTTTAATTACTTAAACTCATTCTATTTTTTTGACATGTAAATGTCACTTTTACTGAGATCTGACACAATGTCAGATCTCTTTTTTTCGTATATAAGAGCTTGACATTTGTTGCAACATAGTGGGGTCATTCATTATTTGTTGTTGCAACTGTTGTTGTGGTTTCAGTTTTACTATTGGATGTTTCAATGCTCCCTTCCTCTTACGTATATTCTTACGTAGCTTACGTGGCATTTTAAGTGAAGTTAAGAAGCGGTTTTTGACAGATGTTTATATGACACTTTTTGTTCAGCACAAAAAACTACTCGGTCAAAGTGTTGTCAGTTTTGTAAAATAACCGTCCTATCTCATTCTATAAGGGGAAAAAGGCTTCTCAAAGTATACTTCCTTGGAACGCCTGTAACTTTTCCTGTAGCGACGATAGACCCTTACTTGTCCGGACAAAGTTATACTATTTTGAGTGCTCTACAAAAAAGTCACCGGCTGGCTCGTCCTCAGAAATTTTTTATGGGCTAGAGGGCGCAACGCGCCTGGAAGCCCCACCTGCCTTGCCTTAATTTCATTTCACCATAGGCAATCATATCTATATACGGAATATCAAAAATGGCAAATTTTATAAAAATGATAAGTTGGATCCTATTGGCTAAATACATCGGATCATTTTTAATCTTTTTATCCGCAATTGCAGGTTTATCGTGTCCTCTATTCTTTAGGAAAGCTACTTGGCAGGTTAGAGGTGAATCTCTCGCTGGTGGAATCTTTCTCGGAGCAGGTATAGTGCATTTACTTGATGATGCATTTCTAAGTATCAGAAAGCTCAAATTACACTATCCATTAGCACCAGCTGTTGCTATATCAACATATGTAATCTTTACACTGATATCAATCTGCACAATTTCAGAGAAAGACAACGAAGAAGCTCAATCTGAAATACCAGATGAAAGCTCTATTACGTTAATGGACGGAACACCAAGTATGCTCAGTGATGCTCAATCAGTCGATCCTCCTTTATTCGGTACGAACTATCTTACAATCCAGAAATGGTCTTTATACATCATCTTGTGCATCCATTCATTCATTGAAGGCTTTGGCCTCGGTATTTTGCCAAAATTAACTCCAACTATTGGATTTTATCTAGCTATGGTTGGTTTCAAACCGATTGAAGCATTTGCTTTAGGTCTATTCATGATACAGGACAGACCTAAAAAAGTTTTATATTGGGTACTTACAATAATTTATTCCTTGCTTACTCCCATATTCTCGATTATTGGTATGTACGTAAACAAGAAGTCAGGTGACCAGACCATTGGAATCATTTCTGCCTTTTCAGCAGGATCTTTCCTATACGTAGGATTCACCGAATGGAAGAATCTTTATTCAAAGAAGAAAGAATTAAGTAAGAAGGAAAAATGCTGGAACTTCTTCATGTTTTTCGGTGGAGTATTGTGGATGCTCTTTATTGCGGGTATCGAAACAATTTATGAGTAATTGAAATTAAGAACTGATTTTACTTTTGTTTTTTATCATTTCATTGATTTGTTTTAATGATTTGCATCAATGTAAATTAAAATATGGGCGATAAATGTTCTAATTCTCTATTTTAAAAGTAATGTATTTATATCTTGTTTGTGAATAAAGATATTATGATTTTTCCTAATTGCGCATCGATTCCGTGTTTAAGCTATGAATAAGGTTCAACTATAAAGTCATAATATGGGACTTTTCCTAAATTATCCGAAATTTTCATTAATCAGCTATCACATGAAGAAATATCAATGAATATTTAAATGCTTAAAAATTTTACAAAAGAAATTTGTGCAAAATCAAGACTGTTGCTTTTTTCTATAACTCTTGATTTGTAAATAAGGCATTGAAGCCTATTTATTAGCTCGAATTGGTTGGAATTAATGAGTTAATTCATATTTTAAATGAATTAATTTTCAATAACACTTCTAGCTAAAAAGTCAATCAAAATAATAAGATATTAAGAATGAATAAGCCGTACAAATTCTTGAGTATACGTCCCTATGCTAGGGCATCTTATATCCACCTATGGAATAGCATAATATTGAAGTTTAGGCATTTACAACTTCATAAAACGTTTTATCCGAAATATTAATTTTTTTAATATGTACATTATTATTTAGTTACCAACAATATATTTTATGAATATATAATTGAAGGCAACTTTTCTATAGACCATTCAATTGTGTATCAGAATTCTATATTGTGAGGACTCACTGAAATAAAAATTTTCAAAAAATTATATTTATTTGATCAATGACTTCGTTACGAGTTCTCAAATCCTTCATGCCTTTGATTGAAAATTACAAAGAAGACAACACTGATATCTTAGGATACAAAGTTCCCGTACCACTTATCTGTGCGGAAATGGCAGAGGCTTTAATTAAAGAAGCAATGGGAGTTTTTCAAAAAATGCCTTCTTTAGTTAGAATTGATGCTCCCTGCTACGTTGTCGGAGATATCCATGGAAATTTATATGATCTAATCAGAATTCTTTCGATGGCCAAAATGCCCCCTCAATCTAGATACGTTTTTCTCGGTGATTACGTTGACCGTGGCCAATTTTCATATGAGATTGTTCTTTTACTTTTTGCGTTACAATGTCAATATCCAAATGACGTTGTTCTACTTCGAGGAAATCATGAATTTGCAGACGTTAACAGCGTTTACGGATTTTTCGATGAAATGTCAGCAATTGAAAACGGACAATATCTATACGACATTATGAACAAAGCCTTCGAGTGGTTACCAATTTCTTGCATTATTCAAAATAAAATTTTCTGCGTTCATGGTGGAATTTCTCCTGACCTTAATGATACAGCTCAAATCGAAAAAATGGAGCGCCCAATTAAAACCTGTGATGATAAACTCCTTGCTGATCTTATGTGGAGCGACCCAACAAGCGAAACTAAGACGTACGCTCGTAGTACAAGAGGTTTAGGTATTTCTTATGGCTCTACATTAGTAGGTGACTATTTAAAGAAGAATAATTTATTGTCGGTACTTAGAGGTCATCAATGCGTTCAGAATGGTATACAAAAAGCTCTTGATGGACTTGTTTATACCGTATTCTCATGCTCAAATTACGTTGATGCTTTAGACAACAGATGCGGATTGCTATTTTTGAACCAAAACCTTGAAATGCAGTTCTTCTCACTACCTCCACGCCCACAGTTAATAAGGCAAAAGACTTCCTTCTATCCTGTGAATAGAAGTACAGTTTTTGAGAGCGAAATATCTGTTATTCCATTCTCAATTACAGCCAAGCAATTCGAAATCAAAAAGAATATGCTTATGGTTCCATTGCCAAGGTTAAGATCAAATTCTCAGGTTGGAATGCCAAGAACGGCAAGATACCCGCGTAATCATCTGAGGTTTGATTGAAATATATGTTTTCAACTCTATATGTTAATAAATATCTATGTTTGTTTTAATAATTCTCCATATTTTTGAAATCGATTTTTTAAATTCACAATTGAGCAAATACTATTTATCAAAACAAACTACATAGAGATACATGAGTGTAATTTTAATGGCAAATTCTAGATTTAAAGTAAAGGGGAAACTACGTCGACAACAAAGATATCGATCAAAATTGTTCCCTTTATGCTTGACATATGAAGTATAGTAATAGTGTATATGGACTCAAAGAATGAAAAGATCGCTCAAGACGATCAAAATTCGATGTTAAGAAAGTAAATTTTTTATTGATTAAGCTGCTTTCGGGTATTTTTTTGAAGCAACACTTTATTAGTTTTTCTTTATACATCTGCATATAAAATATGCGTAAATAAGGATTTATAATTAAAAATATTTTTCGAATTGGGTAAATAAATCGTTAGATCTTAGATTTTATAGATCGTGTCTTCTTAAAATGAGATTGTGGTAATGGTAACTGTGTAGGATAGTTGGCGTATTGTTAAATTGAGCGAAATTTTAATAAGTTTCAAAAACGATTTATAGTATGTTCAAATATATTAGAATTTAATAGAATCCGATAACATCGACTGCAAACAATCAATATTAAGTGATTGATGAAAAACAATATTAAAATTTAAAATTTTCGAAGCTTTTTTGACTGAGAGCAATTGTTTTGGATACCTAGAATGAAATTCTCCATGGTGAATTTCTCCAAATTTTTTCCATTTTAGAAAATGTCAAAGCAATTCTCTAGAAAATGAGGACGTTTTTTTCAATTCTCGATTTTTTTGGAAAAATGAGGTTAAAAAATTCGAAAATTTAAAATTTAGAGAAAAACAAAACATTTTCTTTGTGTTCTAAATCACTAAAGCCCTTTTATTTTTGCTATTCTATAATTTTTCTACTAAAATATATCAATTATACAACGGAATCAAATAATTATTTTTCAATGATATAGAAAAGAAGCATATTTTCGAAAATTATAAATCAGTTATAGGTTACTATCAAATATTGTATATATTTCTATATAGATAACCAGCCATTGTTAGTAATATAAAATTATTTCTGGTTCAAATTAAGGATTTGCCTCACATGTTTAGAAACCATAGTAAATATATAGTAAATAATCAACAACATCATGATTTTATTCACAGGTAAGTTCAAGATATTTATTGCGGTTTGCATTTCGGTAATAAATCTGAATATAATGTGTAATAAACTCGCACATTTAGACCTCTTATCATAATCATGTTATCAGTTAGTGACTGTTGCTACAGAACAAGCAACATTCGATCTGTATATCATGATCAAACAGAAGTTCAGCGAAGATATTTGAGATCTCATCGCCTGAAAGTATTCATAATACTATATCAGAATGACTAGTCAATCTGTAGTTTCAATGTCGTTTTAAATTTATTATGCCAAAATAGTACTTTGGCTATCATTGACAATACGTAATGTTGCTACTGTTGTAATATTTCGAAAAAATAAAGGTATCAACTTTAATGCAAGATATGATGAGTTAAATATCGAATAATTGGATTTTTGCAATAATAATATTCTTTAATCCCTAGTGTATCATTGTTTCATACTAATAACGTGGATGGATTCCGTTTCGATGATCAGATAAAGCAGAATCGATATACTCAGGTACCACTTTTTCGGTCTAAAAAATGAGTTACCCCCTTTTTTAAAGTTCCAATTTAAAAAACGTATATTTTTCAATTACTCAATTTTTTGTTTTCTATACAATATCCGAATTCATTTTTAGCTTTAATTCGAAATTTAAAATTGAGATTAATTCTATGAGGTGTCTCAAAAAAATCATTAATTTGCTTTTTTCCTATTTTATCAATGAGTACTACTAAAATTCCAAAGAAGCCATCTGAGAGAGGCTCCTTTGCGTCAATTTGTAGCATTAAATCTCAAGCTTCACTCATTGATAAGCAATCTAGCAAATATTCTAACTTTACTAGTTTTCTCCCGCCTAAAAATCCGATTATCCAAGAAGTTATTCAAGTGCATATTAAAAATCGTGAAGCCAAGCAAATTAAATTGAAAAATCCGATGAAATACAATGATAGAAAAAACGACTTTCGACAACAAAAAGCTACATCAGAACAAATGAACTACATACAAGACGACATTACTATGGACGAAACTACAGCAACAAGCGCTTTGTATCATTTAATAAATAATTTTGATAAATTTACACGTGAAAAATTCATTCCAGGAACATATCTAATACCAGAAGGAATTCTCAAGACTTCACGAACAACTATTCTTGACAAGACCTTAAATGTTGATCACGTAGACCGTTGGTGGGATCATAACTATCAATTTGACGAAAAATACAAAAAATACAAAGCTTATGATGATATCAACGGATGCATCAGCTTCATTATTGATTTAATGCACAAAGGATATCAATTTAAACAAGCAGATGAAGATATTTTCAAAACAATTTTGACAAATTTCGTAATTAATTTCGATTTCGCACCAGAAGAACAAATATGGTCAGTTGCATTGACTGCTAAAGGAATGCCATACATGCAAATAGCAGATGTTATAAATGGAATCTTTTATTATGATAATAACATTGCAAATGAAGATTTGGCAAAAATTTGTGTCACTTTTGCTTTACACGGGGATGTTTATGAATACAACAAAACGGAGTATTTGAAGAACAGTGTTCCACAAGCAGATGAAACCATAGTAATGCGACAAATAGAAGATTTATTATCACAAAAAGAAACTGTAACTCTAGAAAGAATTGCAAAAGAAACAATGATATTTGTGAACCAGAAAAACACATATTTACAAAAAGTTTATTATCTTATAGATAAAGGAATGCAGAAGAAACCTTTATATGATCCAAGCCAATATGATGAATTCCTTAAAAAAGAAATTCCTCCTTATGAATTTACAAAACCTGCAATTGATGAAGATTATTTATTAAATATGATAATTGTTCGATGGTTATTGATGTTTTGCAAGCTTCTTCAGTTCATTAATCCAAACTCTGATAACATTACAACTCCTAAGAACAAAATGATTGAAAGTCATCCATCAGATGATGCAGAATCAGTTCATCAAAGAGATGTTAAACAGATTTTATCACAACTTCAAGATGACATGTCATATTTGAAAGAAAAATATAAGAATAACAAAGGAAATAAAGAAGATCTTAATCGAGAAATTAAAGAATTAATTCAAAACGCGGATAGAGATTTAAGACTTAAAACTCAAGCTATTGTTCGTGCAAGACTTAGCCAATCAAGATGTTTACCTGTAAATGCTTTCAAAGAAATTGTTCATGAAAAGAGAATTGTTAAATCAACTTTAGCAAAACCACTTCCACCTTTAGAAGCCGTTAAACCTCCAAATCTTGAGAAAACACTTGATTCTATGGATTTACAACCAATTGGTCCAATCGGACGTCCTGAACAGCGCGTTTGTACAACAGTTACACCAACAAGACAAAGACATATTCCAGAGAATCCAAGAATTTCACTTCCTAAAAGAGATTTCCATGATCCTGGAGCTCCTCTTCCTGATTTAGATCCAAAACTGTTCAAGAAATATGGCTTGAATCAATTAAATGAATCAGGACTTATCAATGACCAAACAGTCAAACAGCAATTGGATGGCTTGATCACAGTTTCGCCTTTCGTTTACGATTTCACGAAATCAATCAAACCAGTTCAAAATCCAGATTTATACATATTAGATACGAACTCTGAAAAGGCTCCAACACCGAAATCAGATCGCAGTACCATTGAACCACCTGCCCCATTACCTAAATCAAGTACAATTCAATCAGGAAGAGCTCATTTACGCTTGCAATTCATCAATGGTGATCCACTTACTTATACACAAGATTACAGAGATTTCAGAAGAGAAAATACAAATGTTTGGGAACAAATCGAAGTTGTTTTCCAGCTCTTAAAACACGCATGCAATACATATGGATTTTCCAAAGTTATGGTTGATGGAAATGCTGTTTTAGATTTGTTACAATACGATCCTGATGAAATTTCCGAAGATAGATTGATGCTTTGCTTCATTGATATTCCTCCTGAGAAAAAGAGAAGAAAATGCACAAAGATTGGTGTTGGTTTTGTTGGTCCTAATGCTGAAAACAAGGCTGCAACAGTTATCCAGTCTGTTTGGAGAGGCTTCTATGCAAGAAGAGAAGTAAGAATGATTAGAAGAACAGGAGCTGCTGTTAGAATCATCCAGAGATGGTACAGAGCAATGATTGCTTATCATCAATTGAAGAAGAACTTGAAAGTCGAAGTCGATAGAAGAATTAACAAATACTCAGTCATCCAACAGGATTCAAGTATGTTCGATCCTGATATGCCTCATGTTGTTGTCCATTTAGTTGATGGTCATTCTTCTATTGAATACGGCAGATTGATTGAATTGAGAAATCATGGTATTATTTTGATAATTTTCTCAAGAAAACAATTGCCATTATCAACAATAGAAGAGTTCAAACAAAAGGCAGGTGATCAGAAAGTTCAGTTCTTAGTTGCACAACAGAGATTACCAAAGACATTACCTATCGAAGATGTTATTGCAAGTGATTCAAGAACTTTATCAAAAATTAAAAATATCGCAGGAACATTGCCGATAGTTATTCGTCCAAAGGCTCCTTCTCATTCATTAGTTGAAGTTTCTGTTAAACTAAATGCTCACGTGTTTGCTCCTGCACCTATCAAAGTATCTCTCTTGAATTCGCACGAAGCAATTCGTAGATTATTCGAAAGTGCAGGTTGCCAATTGTTCAAAGCAACAGATGTCATTTTCGACAGATTTACTTTGTGTCAAACTCTTGCACAGTTAACAATAGATAACTTAGATGCAATGATGTGGATGTTGAGATTGAATACTGGTGAATTCGCTTGGATTGCAACAGAAGAAATGTCCCTTTTAGAGAAAATGAGAGATCACAAAGCAATGCTTTCAGATGATGACTTAAAAGATCCTCATTTCAAAGAACTCGTTGCACAAAACATTCTCAATGATTTACCAAGTATTACATTCACTGTTCCTCCTTTAGAACCTCAAAATTTCTTGCAACAAGTCTGGGAGAAAGGTGGCGTAATCGAAGTTGCTCCTCAAATGATCAGATCAGCTCCTGCAGCAACAATTCTGATACCTCCTGCGGGACAAAGACCTGTTATCACAGCAACTTGGGAGAGATTATATATCTCAGCATTCGAAGAATTCGCAAAGATTTATCCAGCATTTATGGAGCCGCAAAAAAAGTTGATGGGAGAACTCAAGAGTATATCAAAAGAACTTGCTGCTAAAGAGATCTATGGATACTCCACCATTAACTTCTACTATTCCGCCAAGCAAACGGATGACAAAGAGAACAGATTCAAGATGAATTTATATATTGATTCGATTGGAATTTGTTCTGAAAACCAAATTTTGTCACAATGGCTCGCAGAAAATGAAACTAATACAGCATTCGATGATGAGCACTACTGTTATTCAGATAAGAAATATATCTATGTACAAGAGAACTTCAAAGTTCCAAAGATAATGTCGTTCAATGATATGTACAACAAACTAAGTTTATCTGGATTACCTGTTAGAACAAAAATCAAATTTGTTCATGATCTGATTGATCCTTACACAATTGGTATTGTCGTTGTTGAAGAGTCTCCAAGTGCTTTGATTCATTTAGTCTATAATACATTCTGCTGTTTGGCTATGAATGTTTACAATTTAAGCGAAGATCCACATAACATCATCTTCACTTACATCCAAGCTTTGGAATTCTTGCGAGGCCAGTTGACAACAACAAAGATATTAAACACAACTGTTTTGATGAAGAGAATCAAGAAGGGAGAAGCAAATCCATTACCAGAAGGAGAGAACAATGAAGAAATGAACGAAGAATTCGTTGATGATCAAGAAAAAGATAAAGATGAAAAGAAAGACGAGAAAGAAGCAAAGGAAGAAGAAGAGAAGAATGAAAACTTGCCAGACCTGAAAGAATTGGTTGTTTTGGACTCAGCTTCAACTACGGCAACAAACAAAACAACAAAGACAGAAGAAGAAGATCATAAAGAACAAGAAGAGAAAAGTAATCCCGAAAATGATAAGAAACCTGAACCAGAAGTTCATCCAACTCCTAATCAGTCATCAGAAAAACTTCTTAAATTTGATTCTAAAGATAAAATTGATGTTCAAGCAAATAATCAACAAAACGAAGAAACTAAACCTGATAATACTCAAAGTGAGAGCAAACCTGAAGAAAATAATAATGAGCAAACACCTTCCGAAGCTAAAACTGAAGAAAGCAAACCAGATAATTCATCAAATGAGGATACAAAACAAAACGAATCAACTGAGAAACAAGAAACTGAGAACAAAATCGAAAATAAAGAAGATGTCAAACCTTCTACCGATGAAAACAAACCTGAAGAAGAAAATACTAAAACTCAAGCTGAAGAGAAGAAAGAATGAGAATAATTTAACATGTATATATATTAATTTGTTTTTGTAAAAAGAAATTTTTGGAAATTATTTATTTTTTTTTATAAATATCATTGCATTATGTGAGATTAAACATTTTCTAATCAAGGGGGGGTAAGTATGATTCGTTCAAATTGTTCGTTTTTGATGTTATTTTAAAATTAATCTCGAAAACTATAATAGCGTTGAAATGCTGCGTTTCGACCTTGTTTTGTACACAGAAAGTCGGGTTGTTTTATCTCGTATCGAATTTGTTTTAGTTGAAATTAACAAATATTCACTTCATATAGAGAATTTTGAACTAATTTGCTATAGCATGCATTAAACACACGATAGTCGAACATATGGTTAAGCGCACACGTGATTTTAATTTTTTGTAAATTTGTAAATTTACAAAAATGATCGGAATTTTTAGATCTGACACATAAATTTTTTAAAAACTTGACGTTACGTATAAAAATATAAAAACATGGAACAAATCATCACAGGTGAAGGACAAATTGTTCCAGACCTTGATGAACATATTACTCGCAGTGGCATTGACCAGGCAGGAACAGATTATCATATGGTCTCAATTATTGGCTGTCAGAGTTCTGGTAAATCCACATTATTGAACCTTTTGTTCGGTACAAAGTTTGAAACAATGAATGAACAGAAAGGTAGACAACAAACTACAAAAGGTATTCACGCTGCAAGAGCTGTTAATGGTCCCATCTTACTTTTCGATGTCGAAGGTAGCGATTCCCGTGAAAGAGGTGATTCTGATGCCTTGTTCGAACGTAAATCATCTTTGTTTGCTCTTGCACTCTCAGAGTTGCTCGTTATCAACATGTGGGAATCTGATATCGGCCGTTACAATGCAGCTAACATTCCAATGCTTAAAACAGTTATGGAAGTTAATGTTCAATTATTCCTTGCCCAAAGTACTTCTAAAAGCAAAATTTTATTTGTCATTCGTGATTCTACAATTCCAAACTTCGATGTCATTAAATTCCAAATCAACAGAGATATGGAGAACATTTGGGCTGAGATCACACTCCCAGATTCGCTCAAGGATAAAACAATTCACGATTTCTTCGATTTCGATTTCTACGCAATCCATCACATGGTAATTCAGCGCGATATATTTGATAAGGATATCTCAGCTCTCCGACAGCGTTTCATCGACGAAAAAGAAGAAAATTACTTATTTAAGGAAAAATCTACAAAAGTCGTTCCAGGTGGCGGTCTAAGTACATACATCAGAAACTTATGGGAAGTCATTAATGAAAACAAAGAACTTAACATCCCATCTCAAAAATTAATGTTATCTCGCTTCAAATGCGAAGAAAACGCCAAAGCAGCATACGACCAATTCAAAGAAAAAGTTACTAAGACTATTCTCGAGCCTATGGCAGACGAAAGCGTCAATTTGGGAGATAAATTCAAATCCAACGCTGAAGAAGCCATTAAAGCGGCCAATAAATTCTACCATGATAACTCATGGAGATATCAGCAAGCTGCTGTCGAAGAATTCCAACAAAAACTTAGTACAGACATAGGAGATTTATTAATTTCATACTACATCAAGCATTGCAACTATTATGCAAGGCAAGTCATGCAAGAGTTCACTAAGTTCATTTCTGGCCTTCCAGATTCATTCGAAAAAGGCGGAAAATGGGCAATTGAAGTTCAAGCCAAAATTGATGAACTTTCTCTTCGACTCGACAGCACATGTCGCGATTCTTTGATTGAAGGATACAAATGGCAGTTCCCATCCTTCAAAACAATCAAAGCAATGGACGATGCCAGGAAATCTTATGAAGAAATCATGACAAAGAAGCTCTACAAGAACATATTTGCCGAGGAAAAAATCGCTTTCGATGATAAAGCCAGTGAATTACTTATGATAGCTGATCAAAATATGTGGGAAAATCTAAGGAAGCTGATTGAGGCATCGGCCAAGGTAACTGATGACAGATTCATGGAGATTATCAAGACAAACGTTCTTAATCCAAAACCACAAGAAGGAACTCTGAAAAGATTCCAACGTCACGCGCTCAACATTGTTAAAGAATCGGCCAACTACATCATGATGAAGATGAAGACGGCCTTCGACAGAAGTTTCAGGTACGAAAAGAACGGAAGACCAAGAGTTTGGACTCGCAGACATAATTTGAACCAAATTTACGAAGAATCGAGAGCCAGCGGCAGAAAAGTTCTTATTCTCTTCACATACTGCAGATTGGCATCTCCAGATGATCAAACTCCCAACAATCCTTTGAATCAAGTCTTAATTCCTGTAGAAAAGAGCCAAGAGATAGAAGAAAAGTTCGAAAAATTAATTATCCATGCATATGAAGAGGCCAGAGCTTCTGTTTTGGCTTCACAGAACAATGAACATATTCCTCCTTGGGCGTGGTTCCTCTTTTTGTTCTCCTGCAGCGACTACATATTATGGTGGCTTTCGAATCCACTTCTTTTCTCTCTAACTGTACTTTTCGGTGGAACATATTTAGTTTTGAATCAATTAGGACTTTGGGACACGGCTGTTCAGAAATTACTTGATATCATAAAGAAGAAGATCGTAGAACTCGGTGCAACACCCGATGAAAACAACGAAACCGAGACAAATCAAACAATTCCTGTAGAAGAAAGCCAAATAACTCCACCGCCTCCAACAGAAACAACAACTGATGATGGCCCTGTAATGAAGCGCAGAGTTCATCGATCAAAAGCTCAGGGATTAACGAAAACTGAGTCAAATGTCACTTTTGCAAATGTTTCCAACGCGAATGATGAGCAATCATTAACAAAGAACAACACAGAAGACTCATTGAACACAGGATCATCAAGTTCTGGACAAAGACATAGAAAGAGAGTAAGAGTTGGTACACTTGTTTAAATTAATTTTGATTATCTTATTTTTATTTTATTTGTAGATTTAAATAACTTTTTTTCTTTATAACCTTGGAACTCCACTTCCTCCAAAAGAGACATTTTCATTGATTTTAGCTCATAATGCCAAAAAATCTTATACGTTTTGAGAAAATTATGAGAAAAAACTTCAGAGATAATGATTTAAATATGAAATTTGGAATATACACATGGAGATAAAGATGTTCACAGAATTTTTATTTTTTTCTATTACCAAAGACTTTTCAAAATTTTTTTGTAAATGACAATAATAATTCAAATTTTCAGAAGAGAGCATGTCATTATTGTCATTATTTTATAAAATTTTGGTAATTTTTGGTAGATTTTATTTAACATCATCAATAGAATATAATATTTTTGAGAGCTTAATAAATTTTGGTAATTGAAAATAGCGGTTTACTAAGTGAAAAATTTTTGATCTGTCAGTTCATTATTCATGGCGAAAGGATTTAAGCACCGGTTTATTGTTTTCAAGCGCAAAGGCAAACAGGAAGTCGTTACCATAGGTAAGAGAGGTGTTATAGAGAATCGATTTCCGTTTAAAGACGACCGCGAAATGAAAGAAATTGTTACAGCCCTATTTCCACATTTGAAGTCAAGGCCCGAGTACAGTCATGAACCTCAAGAGCTAGAGCCACCTCAAGTACTTTGTTCGAACTTTGGTCAACCAGAAAGCAGTTCTCCTGAATCTGCTAAACTATTGTTCGACGAATTCGGATTCGACAATTTCCCAGCAGATTCTTGGGATTTTTTCAACCCTACAGAAGCTTTTTAGACTGATTGTTGTCTAGCCGTTGAATTCTGAGAAAGCCTATTTTGTCGGCGTTTCCAAGAAACTCTGGCAGCCGCTTCAAGTCAGTCCTCTTTCGAATAGCCTTGAAAAAGGCGATCTTTTTAAAATAAATGTATGTTACTTCTAATCTTAATCAATTACCTCTTTTTAATTAGCATTTACACAGAAACAATATACTTAATCGACACGCTATCCAGATAAATTTCACGAATCGAAACAAGAAGAATCTTTGAACCATTAGGACTACTTCTTTTGGGTAGACAATTTACTCAAAATACATGACTATTATAATATTCTAAAAATTTCTTCCATAATAAGCTTACATGAATGTCTGAGTGGGGCAAGTCATCCCTATTTAGTATGCCTATAATAATTCAATAAAAGAAATTTGACGACTTTTTCCATTCATGGGTTATATATATAGGGTCTAGGTGTAGGTCTTAGTGACCACACATTAACACAATCACTCTGCCGAATCAATTGATCCAATTCAGTATTATATTATTGGTTTATAATATGAAAATTTAATAAAAAGTCAAAAAATAAGCGATATCAAAGATCACTGTATGAACACACAATTTATTGACCCTTTTCTGATTATTTGTCATTTTTATTAGTTAGATTCTGATATAAATTTTAAAAATCTCTTTATTTTTAAGTTATACTTACAATTTGCAATCTTTTATTTCATAGTTCTAAAATTTTATTAGAGAATATAATGATGATATAAATACGTCCTTTCTTTCATTTTTAATCCCAATTAATGATATAATATTAAATGATAACATCGAAGGACTATTAAATTACATGAATACTAGGACATATAATTTAACTGGCATACTTCAAAGATGCTGTATGAGAGGAGCAATTAATTGTTTCAAGTTATTAAAAGATGATTTTAACGCGGAAATCACCAAAAAATGTCTCGACTTTTCATTTAAAGGGGGCAATCAATACATCATTGATCAATGTTTGGAGGAACAAAAATCCGGATTCAGAAACTTTGAACGCTATAGTTGAATCTCATAATATTGATAATTTTAAGAAACTAGAATTCGGCTACAATATTGAACCGAGTTTGAGATCGATGACTTTTTACCACAATCTACATGCGTATATTATTGCGTTAAATGCAACAAATGCTGTCGACCTTTGTTTTCTATATTCCCCATATTTTCAGATTCCATCTTTTTGTGAATATTTATATGCAAATGGTGCAAATATTAGTAGTAGGAACCCAGATGATTGCTCAACTCTAGATATTGCAATTCTAGCAGATCATGCAGAAATTGCATCATTTTTGTTTTCAAAAGGAATTGAAATAGATGAAAAAGCATTTTATTATGCAGTTTCTTCAAACAGTACTGTTATGGTGGAGTTACTTGTTTCACATGGTGCTGATGTCAACTTCAGAGAAAATAATACTGGTTTTTCAATGCTTCATATTGCTTGCTTGAATTGTAATATTAAAGTTGTTGAAATTCTAATTTCACACGGAATAAATATAAATGATAATGAGGATGTTAGAGGTTTCACTCCTCTTGTGATTGCATCAATGATGCATTATAAAGAAATTGCTGAATTTCTGTTATCACATGGTGCAAGTACCAATATACAAGATAAGAATGGGAAAATGGCTATTCATCATGCCATAGTGCCTGATTGTCAAGGATTTACGGAATTTATTACTAATAAAATTGAATACTTAAATTTTCATAGCAGATATCAACCTTCTTTGCCTATAGTTGAAAATTTCAGTGACATGATTGTGCTTCTACTGTCGAATGGTGCAGATGTCAATGCAAAAAAATAAGAGATCGTATTCACCTCTTCATATGGCATTGGTTATAAAAGATGTCAAATTCGCTGAAATATTAATTTCTCATGGTGCCGATGTAAATTCTTTAAATAAATTTGGTATGACTCCTCTTGATTACGTTATAATTCTTGAAAGAACTGAAGACGATACTCATCTTGATATTTTGGAAGATTTAATAAAATTAAGGCATCTCTTAATATCACATGGTGGAAAAACTTTGTCAACAAGAAAGGAGGTCCTTGAAAAATCTAGCAACAATTTGACAAACCTGTCTACATCAGTTTATAATGAATATTTTTGAAAAATTATTTTAAAAATAGTGTTTGAAAGCTCAAATAAAATAATGCCGTTTTAAATTTTTCTTCAATGCTCGTTTAGAATTTCTCACTTCCAAAGATCAATGAGCGAAACAGCTTAATACTGAAAATTCGCTAACTCAGCCTGATTTTTTTCGAATTCAGCGAACTCAAAAAGTGATATCATTATAACGTTATAATCATTCATAATTTCTGCATATGTCAAATAGTTACAGTATGTTGATAACTTTATTACGCATAGTCATGATGTTTATGATAACTATTTTGAATTTAAGAGAATAATTGACATTATATGTGTCAATACTTGTTTAAGGAAACTTATCATATAACTTCAAATATGTTAATACAGTACCATGCAAATACTGTAATGACTTCTCGTGTTTTTTAGATAATCTCGTTCATATCTTTTATTTATCTCATAATCTTGAATAATTTCTTCTTCTTTTCATTATATTTTTACACAAATTCTATTACCAGCAATGCTGAATAATTGAGCAAAACTTAAATATATTTGCAAATAGAATTTAATTATAGATAAATTCCTTCACTATATCATTAAGAAAGAGATTCCGAATAATATTAATAGTATTAAGTATGAGTGTGCAGAAAGGCAACAATTTGTTTCATTCAAATTTTTCAAATTAAAACAATAGATTTTTTTAAAGCGCACAAAAAAAACTGTTTATGTTATGAGTAATAATTTATAACAAACTTAATCATAAAGATCTAATTTTGAATTCAAATTTATTCTGAATAGTTAGAATAAGAATAAATCGTTATGATTTAATCAAACCAACCTAAAGAAAAGCTAATTTTGCAATCAGCATAGTGAATTGCAAAACCAAAAAAATGATCAAGAGCAATTCTAAACATTGATATCGTAATTATACACGTTCTATGAGTGTGTTAGAGACGATGTTTTATGCTCCAAGGAAACTACTACAGATAAGAATGTACAAGGATGGTGAAATGATCTAATTGATTAACAAAATCTAATGCCATTCAAAATTTTGACAGAAAAAACGCATTTTTTTAGGATGAAACAGAAAAAATCACCGGTTAATCTGGATCCTAAATCTGTAAAAGAGTTCATAAGGACTACAGACAACATAGACAAGGTAATTCTATATTAATTTAGTTCGTTCTTCTTTTAATTTATGATATTCGATTTCATTTTATGGAATTCTTCATTTCATTATAAAACTCTCACTAGATTATGCGTTGAATATGGTCAAATAGAGTCTTTAGATATCTTACTTCAGCATGGTGCAAGATCTAAAAATTTAATACGATCAGCTGTACGAAAAAGTCAGATAGAAGTAATCAAATATCTACTTTCTAAAGGTTTTAATATCGAAGAAACATCACCGGATGTTCCTTCGCCACTTATGACTGCGATTATTGAAAAGAAGGTTGATATCGTCAAACTTTTACTTGATAACGGTGCAGATCCATCAGAAACAGGTGACATTCAGCAATATTTTATCAAACACCTACTTCATATACAGTTAAATCGAACGACAAAGAGTTGCTTGAGTTGCTTTTGCAATTTGATGCACCTCCATCACCGATGAGATGTCAAATCTCACCACTTCTTCTCGCAATCAGGTCAAATTACGTAGATATTGTTAAAATCCTATTAAAATATGGCGTTGATCCAAATAATTCGCAAAAATCTAAAACTGGTCAAAGGACATTTGCAGTTTCTGTTGCACTGAATCGGGAAAACTACAATTGCTTCATATTGCTTATTCTTATGGGTGCTAAAACAGACAAAGTCAAATGTAAGAAAATTCCACGCGAAAAATTACGGCAAATCAAAGAATATTCATGCAAACCTGTCAAGAAAGGAAAACATCCATATGCAGAAAAGATTTCTGAACTCAATCAGTTTTGTTCAGACTTTTCAGACGAAGTTCAACACATCAAAGTCAAAATCACAACAAACTCAGATTATTCCGATTTAAGTTTCGTTGATGGTATCGCATACATCCGGGAATTGTACCAAAAAGCCATAGTTCTTGTTGAAGATATCATCAAACTCAACAATAAACTCAAAGAAGATCGAACACCACTCATTGACAAACAAATTATTGTTTATGACAAATACATTGGCAACCAAGTGATTAATTCACTTGTTCTTTCTGAAATATTCCCAGAAGAAACGATCAAAATCATCAAAAAGCGGAGACAAAAGCTTTATGAGTATGGTATTTCAGTTTCACGTCTTAATAGTCTTTCCACATTCGCATTCAATGTATTCCAAACACTTCGTGAGTACACAAATGAGTACTATTACTCAATTCAGAAAACTCTTGAAGTTGCCGAAGAGAAAATGACTAAAACGATCAACAATCAGAACTTACTTCTTAGAGCAGGACTTTCAAACCCTCAATGCGACATGCTTCAGACTTTACTTCCTCTTAAGATTAAGACTCTTCAGAGACAAAGAGAACCTATTGAACAAAACTTCAAACAATTTCGCGAAATGAACAATGACCTTTGTAAATCAATGCGCCAATGCTATAAATAAATAAAATTTGTTTTGTAATTTAATATAAAATCTTCCTCATAATTGATAATTTGATAACTGTTAATTAACAGCATACCAAATAACATTCAAAAATAAATTGAGTTATCATTTTGAACCAGGATATCTCTATCTGATATGCTAAACAAATTTTCAATTATCTTTTTTTTCCCCTCTAATTAATATTAGATTGACAAAAAATTACTCGTTTTTAAAAACATCGTTTGAGAGAAAAGGTGAGTACTTTCTGTCACAAAACCCCACAATATCAAAAACTTTGAAAGACCAATTCTTTTAGTGTCAGAAAGTTTACAAATGTATACTTTTTGATAAACAGAGTATCGAAAATTATAAAACGGCGGATTTGATTTTTACTAATTGTCAAATCCATTTTTTTTGCATACCGTGTAAAACCCTATAATGACATGTTTTCTGTGGAGGAACTTCGAAACAATATTAAAATATATACCTAAGATTTAAGTGTGATATTTAATGATAAAAGAAAAACACAAAGAAAAGAAATAGATTTACTATGTTGAATGTTTTCTTTGATTTCATAAATAATAGGAATATCTGCGGGACAAAGAGCAGTTGAAAAATGAGAAAGATTATGAGTAAATTCATTTGTGATTTTATTTATAAAGATAACTGCTCCATATGTTACTGGAGATTTGTTATCAATGTAACATCCATCTAATATAATTTTTCTATTACCTCCAAAATAATACCAATCAAGATTGTTATTTATAAAACTACTATTTTTGATATAAACTGGAGCAGATTCTGCATAAAGAATTCCACCAACATTGTTATTTAAAATGTTACAATTTCGAATTTCAAAAGTTTCTTGAGAATTATAATAAAGGAATTTATAATTACCACTTCCAATTGTTGAATTAGAAAAAGTGGAAAATGAACAATTTGATCCTTTTGAAAATGAATCAACTTGATAAAAATCTCTATACCATATTTTCGAAAATGAAATGTTGATTGATTTAATTTCGATTTGGCCGTTTATTAAATAAAGATTTTTAATTCCTAAGAGTCTTTCATCTCCACTTTTACTAATAGAGGAATCATGAATATAATTTTTGTAGGTATTACTTTCACTAACATCAATTTTACAGTAAGCACCTTCAAAATCATATGAGTTTACTTTAGAAGCGAAACTGCAGACGCGATCTTGAACAAATTCGCCTTCTTGTTGATAGAAAATACAACCGCCATCGCCATTGTTACTACAGTTATTAAATGTTGTAGTATCAATGAGGAATTTGATTGTATTTTTTTGTGTGTTTAAGTAAACTGAACCTTGTGTGTTTACTTTGTAGAAAAAGCATGATGAAACATAATAACTGTTTTCATCTGCTGTAAGTTTACTATTATGTTTTGAATATTTTTTGTATGTTTCTGTGCTTGAATAAAATTCTGTCCAATCTTCATGAATTTGAATTCGTGTTGCATTGTTAAGCTTACATGTAACGAATATTGAATCATATTCATTTCAAAAAAAGATTTATGAAATAGTTTTTATCCCTCATAAAAGGGAATTTTGCTATTCCATAAATTTTGGATAAAAAAGTGCTTTTCAAAAATTGTCAAAATTATTTTAGTGAATGTGTAAACCATTGATTATCAATTTAATATGTGTTATTCCTTTTAAATTTTAAATAATCTAGTTAAATAGAAGACTTGTTCCAGAGACTTAGATGCAAAATAGTCATTACATTGCAAAGAAAAAGGAAATCGATTAAATACAAAATGCAATACTCTCAAATATAACTACTATTTAGATGTCCCAATATCGAATAAACATCACCGGATGTTCCTTCGCCACTTATGACTGCGATTATTGAAAAGAAGGTTGATATCGTCAAACTTTTACTTGATAACGGTGCAGATCCATCAGAAACAGGTGACATTCAGCACTATTTTATCAAACACCCATTTCATATACAGTTAAATCGAACGACAAAGAGTTGCTTGAGTTGCTTTTGCAATTTGATGCACCTCCATCACCGATGAGATGTCAAATCTCACCACTTCTTCTCGCAATCAGGTCAAATTACGTAGATATTGTTAAAATCCTATTAAAATATGGCGTTGATCCAAATAATTCGCAAAAATCTAAAACTGGTCAAAGGACATTTGCAGTTTCTGTTGCACTTAATAGGGAAAACTACAATTGACTTAGAAGAAACAATCAAAATCATCAAAAAGCGGAGACAAAAGCTTTATGAGTATGGTATTTCAGTTTCACGTCTTAATAGTCTTTCCACATTCGCATTCAATGTATTCCAAACACTTCGTGAGTACACAAATGAGTACTATTACTCAATTCAGAAAACTCTTGAAGTTGCCGAAGAGAAAATGACTAAAACGATCAACAATCAGAACTTACTTCTTAGAGCAGGACTTTCAAACCCTCAATGCGACATGCTTCAGACTTTACTTCCTCTTAAGATTAAGACTCTTCAGAGACAAAGAGAACCTATTGAACAAAACTTCAAACATTTTCGCGAAATGAACAATGACCTTTGTAAATCAATGCGCCAATGCTATAAATAAATAAAATTTGTTTTGTAATTTAATATAAAATCTTCCTCATAATTGATAATTTGATAACTGTTAATTAACATCACATTAATTTTAATAATATTGTTTGAATATTCAAAAACAATTGAAATCATCATCTGGAATCCGAATAACTCTATATCTATTATGCTAAACATTCAGTGGATCATCATATAAATAAGCAAATTATATCACGATATATCAAATGAACACTTTTAGAATATTTAATTTTTTTTTCAGAAAATTAACATTAGAATTTGTTACAACTTCTTAGATTGCTATCATATCTTACTTCAACAATTTCGAGATTAAGCACTAATATCTTCACTTATTTTTCAAAAGAAATTAGATAAATGAACTTCGTCTATGACATTGATTTTATCTATGTACACAATATATACCTAAGATTTAAGTGTGATATTTAATGATAAAAGAAAAACACAAAGAAATGAAATAGATTTACTATGTTGAATGTTTTCTTTGATTTCATAAATAATAGGAATATCTCCATGACAAAGAGCAGTTGAAAAATGAGAAAGATTATGAGTAAATTCATTTGTAATTTTATTTGTAAAGGTAACTGTTCCTTGAATTGGTGGAGATTCGATATCAATGTAACATCCATCTAATATAATTTTTCTATTACCTCCAAAATAATACCAATCAAGATTGTTATTTATAAAACTACTATTTTTGATATAAACTGGAGCAGATTCTGCCCAAAGAATACCTCCAACATTGTTATTTAAAATGTTACAATTTCGAATTTCAAATGTTTCTTGAGACTTTAAATGATATATTTTATGATAACCGCCAGTATTTCCAGTTGTTGAATTAGAAAAAGTGGAAAATGAACAATTTGATCCTTTTGAAAATGAATCAACTTGATAAAAATCTCTATACCATATTTTCGAAAATGAAATGTTGATTGATTTAATTTCGATTTGGCCGTTTATTAAATAAAGATTATATTTTCCGTTGAAACTTTCATCTCCACTTTTACTAATGGAAGAATCATGAATATAATTTTTGTAGGTGTTACTTTCACTAACATCAATTTTACAGTAAACACCGTATGTATCTTGTGAGTTTACTTTAGAAGCGAAACTGCAGACGCGATCTTGAACAAATTCGCCTTCAGATTGATAGAAAATACAACCACCTGTTTGATCATTACTACAGTTATTAAATGTTGTAGTATCAATGAGGAATTTGATTGTATTTTTTTGTGTGTTTAAGTAAACTGAACCTTGTGTGTTTACTTGAGTGAAAAAGCATGATGAAACATAATAACTGTTTTCATCTGCTGTAAGTTTACTATTATGTTTTGAATATTTTTTGTATGTTTCTGTGCTTGAATAAAATTCTGTCCAATCTTCATGAATTTGAATTCGTGTTGCATTGTTAAGCTTACATGTAACGAATATTGAATCATATTCATTTCAAAAAAAGATTTATGAAATAGTTTTTATCCCTCATAAAAGGGAATTTTGCTATTCCATAAATTTTGGATAAAAAAAGTGAACCTAAAAGAAAAAACTAAAATCATGATCTGGGAAAGTCAAAAAAAATTAAAGGGATTTAAAAGAGTATACATTATTTGGATAATTGCCAAAACTGACAAAATGGAGTTTTAGAAAATCAACTTTTTAATTATTAACAGTAGGTATTAATCCGAATAAACTATAATTTAGAATATGACACTTTTTTGGAATTGGAATAACTGAGTTTATCCATATTGCCGATATAGGGTCGAAAAGTGACAATAATGGAATAATTGAATTAGAATAGGGTTTGCTAGTAAATTAGGAATTGGAATTTGGAATTTTGAATTAGAATATAATAAAATCACACATATTTTTCTTAATAATAAGATTGAATATTTACTCGCGAATATGACAAAAAATGACCATAAATTCTAGATATGTACTATATGGTTATATTACTATGATGATTTATATAAGGTATATATAAGGTGTATATAAATTAGAATGCTAATTGTTAATAATATTGTAGTGTGAAATAATTTATGAATGAAAAGTGTGAAAAAATGTCACCATAAATATGACTAATGTCAATTTATACTTAGTAATACATATATTATACACTCTACTATAGTAGTATATATTACTATGTTTTGCCTATTCAGAGTTGTTATGGATTCATCTGCATCAATGAATTGGCATGCAAAAATTAACATATTCTCAATATAACTATACACATAACCCTAATATCAATATAAATACTGCATATGATATAACACATTCAAGACATATTATCAATATATCATAATTTTTCTCTGGTCTGAGACCAATCTTTCTAATCTGTGATTAAGTAAAAAAAAAGATTCACGGTTATTCTAAAAAGACAAATTAATGAGATTGCATTACAATGCATCTATTAGGAAATTTTGGTGTTAATAAATTGAATAGTTCGAGTTTAGGATTTTGACTTCGCTAAAAAAAATTGACTCAAAATACACAAAAAATGAAATAATTTGAAGTTAGAGATTGAATAATATTATACATGAGGAGCTATTAAATAAAGTTGTGTATGAGAATATTGCACTTAGATTAATAGAAATAGAATTATAATTCAATAATAATGATGCCTGACGAAAATGATAATTTTGTCACTTTTTTCAGGCTAAATTGATAATAAAAAAATCGTTCAGATTTTTCTTTAACACATTATTTTCCACCAGCACACACAACCATATATCTTTTATTTATTTATATCAGCAATATATCTTACATATCTATATCTTCAACAATATTTTCTATGTTGTTGATTCCTATTCCAGAAGCATCAATTTAATTCTGATGACAAATCTATCTTTCAATTCTTAATTATTGACAAGAATTTTTGATTCGGATAAAGTAAACTTTATACGCAATTCCAAATTCAAACCGATTCCTGATTCATGATTAATTCCATTATTGTCACTTTTCGACCCTATATCGGCAATATGGATAAACTCAGTTATTCCAATTCCAAAAAAGTGTCATATTCTAAATTATAGTTTATTCGGATTAATACCTACTGTTAATAATTAAAAAGTTGATTTTCTAAAACCCCAATTAATTGATTACGAAATACATTATTCTGCAATAGATTTTGAAGAAAATTCAAGGATGATATGTCAAGCCTATACTGATACTAAGTCTGCTATTTATATAGAAATCTTCTGAGTCGATCCTTCATGCAAGTACATTTTTCATCTGAAACTTCTAAAAAAATTTTTGAAAAATAAAAAATGCTTTATAATATCTTTTATGTTCGATCATTTGCAAATGCAAAGCCATTATTGCAACATGCAGCATCATCCGGATCATTAGAAGTAAAAGTATCAGGAAATTCATATCCAAAAGGGGCGAAATTTGATGATCCAATCGATTTAGCTAATCTTTATGATGAAGAAAGTGAATCACACTACGATTGGTGCTCTAACATTCGAACTGAAAAAGATCCTCTTCCTTATGCTGAATTTCGTTACGAAAGAAAAAAATTTGTTGTTGAGAGCTACACACTTCAAATGGGATGCCACGACAAAGAATATTGCTGCAAAAGCCTTTTAGAGAATGATACTTGCGTTGATTGTCAACTCACTGGTTGGTTATTCCAAATTTCTAATGATCAAGTTAAATGGGAAACTGTTTCAAGAGTCGAGGATGCAAAAGAATCATTAGATTGCAAAGTAAAACGATATCGATTAAACAAAAAACGCATTACTAGATACGTCCGATTAATACCTCTCGATAACTCATCAAAATGCATGCAGTTTTCAAAATTTGATGTTTTGGGACTATACGAGTTCGATCCAATTGCTGATGGAAACAAAAACGTAATTGGTCGAATTCATAAACAAAGACAGTTTTGGTATTAAATCATATATTGATTTTAATTGAAAAACAAGCTAAATAAAGTGTTTATATCATATTTTTATAAAAAAACAGAAATAATTCATATTTTTTTTTTATAAATTCTCAATTTTGAAGTTTATTTGTCTCCACCTATATCCCAATGCCAGTATACGCTAACATTCTTAATATTTTTTTAAAAAAGAAACTTTTAATGAGAGGAATTCAAGATTCAAAGATCTGTGAGACCATCTGGAACAATCAATTACTTTAATAATCCTATAGATTTCCAACCCAATAAATAATAGTGCTATGACTGATAATGAAAGCGTCGCCAATGTGATTTATAGATTATTATCCTCTTGTTCATCAAAAATCGTAAGCACTTGAAAAATCACAAATACACCCTCTATATAAAGGATTTCATGTAATCTTAGTCAATTCAGGAACATTCTAGGCTTATTCTTATAAGAACAATGCAAAAAGCACTGGTAGGGTGAAACATTAATAGTCTTGATCTAAAAAATAAATGATAAATAATTTTTTTTACATTCTATAACACTTTAAAATAAAAAATCACAATTAATAAGCAGTTGCATGACCAGATTCTTCCAAATGAGCGAAGAGTTTTGTCTTTGAAGGGAATATTGCCTTGCACTTTCTGCACATGAACATTCCAGGTGGACAATGACCTTTCTTTGCTCTTTGTACACCATCATTCTTTTGGTTTCCTTTTCCTTTTTGTTTTCCTTTATCTTGTTCTTGTTTCTTTGTTTCTTCATTCTTTTCCTCTTCTTCTTTCTTTGCAGTTTCTTCTTTCTTTGGCTCTTCTTTCTTGGGTTCTTCTTCTTCATCGAAATCGGAGTAATCAAACAAAGCGTTCTTTCTTGCTTCCATCATTGCTCTGAGTTTCTTTTCTTGCTTAGTAAGTTTTGGTTGGTCAGCGTATTTCGCTTTTTCAGCAGCTTTTTCTTGTTCAATCTTCTTTTGCTGCTGCTTCTGCATCTTGAGTTTCCTTCTTTCCTTCTTACTCAATGGTTGTGCTTGCAATCTCTTTGCTCTTAACTCTTCTTCGTCAAGATCTTCTTCTTCATCTTCATCATCATCGTTTTTGTTTTTGCCTTTCTTATTATTGTTGTTTTTGCCTTTCTTTGGTTTTTCGTCTTCATCGTCATCATCGTTTTTGTTCTTTCCTTTCTTGTTCTTCTTTCCTTTTTGTTCATATTCCTCTTCTTCTTCGTCATCTTCGGCTTCTAATTGTTGTGATTGGCCTCTTTGTGGTTTCTTCTTCTTGTTCGCTCTTGGAGAAACAAGGTTGTTCATGTCAACATTTGGATCTACAGCTAAAATTTCACTTTCGTCCAATCCGAGTAAAATGAAATTAAATGCTGTATGTTCGAAGATCGTAGGATCATTTAAGAAGTCTCTCTTGGCTGTAGCAACCATCTTCTTGTGTTTCTTGGTAGCGCAATGTGTCTTGAAGACGTTTGCGTTGTCAACAATTCGACCACAGTAATCACAGAACCATTCTGGGTCATCGTCCTTGTCTTTGTCGAATTCGTTGAGGTAGAGTAATGATTCTTCGGAAAATTCTGGTTTTTGGGCATGTTCTCTTGTAATTCTTTCGATTTCTTCGGCATCTCGGCGACGCTTTTCTTCGCGCTTGCGTTCGTCTTCTTCTTTCTTCTTTCTGAGTAATTCCTCTCTACGCTTGACTTCTGCTGTGATTCTGGGATCTCTCTTTTTGGCAAAAAGAGCCATTTCTCTGACTGCTGAGATGAATTCCTTCATTGCTTTCTGGCGAAGGCTCTTGTTCTCTTTGTCCATCTGACGGCGGTACCAGGAGTTTGGTGCATCCTTGAGTTGGTACATATCTTCGAATGCGAAGGATCTTGTTGTCTTGAAGCATGTCCAGAAGGCATAGAACTTCTCGACTTCTTCGTATGGTGTACTGGACCAGCCGAATTTTGGTGCTTCGAGCTTTTCTTCTTCGGCCAATTTTTCGAATGCTTTTCCAAAGACATTGAAGAAACCACGTGCATCGTCTTCGAATCCATGGAAGGCACCTGCCTTAAATAAGCCGTAAATGTCAACGTTTGTAGCTACCATCTCTCCTTGTTCATCATAGTTAAAGTTTCTATGATCATCGTACCATGCGCGTTCCTGATTATCGCTAAGAATTGAGTAAGCATGCTCAATAAGTTGGAAAACTCGAGTGGCCTCAACTTCATTGCCGTGATTTCTATCTGGATGCCATTTCATGGCTGCCTTACGATAAGCACGCTTTAATTCTTCTTCTGTTGCAGATTCTGTAACACCAAGAAGTTCGTAGTAGTCTGTTTTCTCGTTCCACTCAGTTGCCATTGAATTTGTAGGGAGAAAGAATTAGATATATTGGGGACAATCACAAATTTTGTGCCTCAAAACGACTAGAATAGATAAGTACTTATTTAGTAAAGGATAAATGTAATTTATATATTTCTCGTTGAAAAATGTTTAAAATTTCAAACTTCTTCAATAATTCGACGCTTTGGAATAGTAATCACCTTCTATTTTATGTTTCTTCTATTGAAATCCGCATTGATACCAATTGCTTCAGTGATACATGCATTTTCACAATCAAAAATGTTAATTTCTAATTTTAATTTCAATTCAGATCATTTTTCAAAGAAATTATATTTCAAAACTTATTTAAAATCAAGCATTATGATCAATTGTCAACAAAATATCCAGAATTACTACGCAGACGAAGAAGATGAAATCGCAGTTGGAATTATTTCAGGGAAAGAAGTACTTGAAACACGTGTTATTGGCCAAGCAGAAACATGGTTTCATCAATTTCCTCATGTTTCTGTGTTTAGTGATTACTTTGACCCAATTGCAATCAAAAGAATAACTCAGCTTGCCAAACATACGAATGTTTCATTCATTACTGTAGAAAATAAGTCAGATCATCTGATTGGCACTCCTTGGGCAAGCAGATGGTATCATGCACAACCAAGATTTTTATCATCAATGAAAAAGCTCTATGAAACAAATCCGAATGCCAAATGGTTCTTATTTGGCGATGATGATACATATTTAGTCGCTAAAAACATTAGAAGAAGATTAATAAAATATGATTATGACGAACCAACAGTTGTTTCATTTTTCTGGTGTCAATGGAGCTCTGTAGCACAATATATGAAGCCTCATCGCGATTGCAGACCGTTTGCTCAAGGAGGAAGTGGAGTTTTATATACTAGGAAGATGATGGATATGATTTATCCACATCTTGATATGTGCAATGATATTTTTAATGATGCAAACCATGCTGCTTCAATGAGAATTGCAAATTGCATTGAAAATTTTTTCGGAATTAATAATTGGACAAGTGGGGCCTTTATAAAGCCATGGAGATCAGGTTTTCACTATTCCAACCCGGATAAAGTCATAATAGAAGGAAATACATGGGATGCTCCCGGAAGTTTTCATCAAGTCAATCGAAATTTGATGAAAAAAATTCACAACTCCCATATTTGCACTGTTTCTGATGGATACTATGACTTCTCTTATTATATGTTCATGTCAGCACCTGTTGAAATCACTTACTGCACTAATTGGGAACTTCATTTCGGATATTGCATTGATATGTATGGTTCTCATTTGTTTAGAATCAATGCAATTACTCCAATTGTGTGTGTTGATGAAAAAAATATGAAATTTACTCAGGAGTTCGAAAATAATGTTGTAGTTTATATTGATAATAATCCTGACTTAGAAATCGGAGATATTTATGTTGATGATGTAGTTAGATCTATCAACAAAACAGAAATATATGTTTATGTAAATTGTCCAGAAAAAAACTTTGTTTAATAAACTATAATTTGGAATGTAAATAGGAAAAATTATTTAGGATTTTTTAATCGAACAAGTTATGGAAGACCCCGACAGCATTTTCGTTGATATTTGCATTCATTTTCTTTCTGTAGTTCTATAAAGTCTTTATTATTTACAAAAAAATTAAAGACAAATTTGTTTTTTTAAAATTTTGCTAAATCTTCGTAAATATATTTCTTGCTGCGAAATGAAGAGCTGTTCGTCCATGATATTCTTTTTTGTTTACAATATCTTTAGATTTATGATTAACAGTAATATAATCATCGATTTTAGATAATTTTTATTAGAAAACACCACATCATTCATAAAGAACAACATATACTCTTATTTTGAATAATTTCATTTTTGTTTTATCCGATGTACTATTGAATATTAATTTTATAAAACTAAAATTTTTATTATTATTTACAATTCGGTATCATAAACAAAATCTTCGCTGCTAATACTATAAGAAACAGCGTTTGAAAATTCATCTTCAGTGGAATGAGATTTGATGACTCCAATCTGCGGATCCAATGTCATAATCTGTACTTTCATCTGCAAGTAGTTAATGAAGTCTTCTCCTTTCTGGCCCAAACTCAATTTTCCACTATAAATCTTTCTCTTTAAATAAAAAAGTGACAAATCAAAAGCGTCAGATTCCCAAACAAATTTTTTCATGTCGTAGATAACAGCTGAAGGATTCAAGAAAGGCCTTCCCATTCTCATGCTAACAGCGTGTGGTGTGTTCCAGTATTCATTTGCCATTGCTGTTTTAGATGACGTGAATTTAGGAACAGCTAAAACACAGTTTTTCATGTCAATTTTTCTGAATTTCGAACAATCTTTATCCCAAAAAATATCGGGGTCTGACACCATGACCCTGTCTATTTGAGGACATGCGAAACCAGCAATTGCATGCTTACCGTATTGCCAGATAAATGATGGAAGAATATCGTATTTAAACGATGGATGTGTATAGAAAGGAATTATCTCAACTTTTTGATTACCAAAAACAGTTTTGTCAAATGGCATATAACAAAAAACGTGCAAAAATACGTTACTTTGATTAACAATACTTTTCATTGTTTCCATGGACATGAAGTACGTTTCAGGTGTTAAACATGTAACAACATGTGAAAGTCTATCGTCTTTTTTATCACTTTTTGGTTCACCTTTATTTCCCTTTACAAATTTTTGGAGAGGAACCCAAGAATCAACTGCAAAATCTTTATAGACACCAACAGGCGCAGAGACAGGTATCCAGCCATCATCTTGTATTGGCTTCATTACTTTGTTCGCGACAACATAATCTTTGTATCTGGCAAAACCGTCATTGACGATAGACTTTATCGTAAAAATTTTTTCTTTTTGAGTTTCTTCAACTCCCCACGATGTTCTTGGATATATAAGTGAAGTGAAGTCACCTTCATATGTCACTTTTCCTGTATCGTCAGGCAAATAAAAATTCTTAATTTTTACATCGAATTCGATATCTTCGATGTTTTCATCATCAAAAAGTGACATAATTCTGACACCGGCCAATTTAGACTGAGCAATTGAAAGAGCAGCGTCCAAAACAACAGGAAATTCATCATCGAAAATTCCCATGTTTATACAAATCTGTAGAGGGTTTTGCGGATCATGTTCTACAATGGAATACCCTGCTGAACAATCATATCTCGAAATTCCCATTCTGTGGTCATTTCCTCTGAAAAACGTGACAGCAATTCTTTGTTTTAGATCCATTTCTGGAATTACTTGGAAATACTCAATTTGATAAACACGCAAAACATATTCTATTTCATCAGCAGATAATCTTCTATCAAATACAAATGGTCCAATAATTGTGGCTTCTTTGTTTTTGGACCTGACAATGTGTGATAAAATTTCTGACGGTTTTTTAATGACAGAAATTGTTGTTGAAGGGAAATTGACTTCTTCATTATATCCTATGAAACAAACAAATGTATTATAAACAAAATCTTTGTTAATTGCAGCTTTCGAAATTTCATCACAAGCATTTGAGATTTCTTCGCTTGAAAGATCGACCAAAGATACTAAATCTGAATTGTCTAGCTTCATTGGTGGTTCTTTCTTCGAAATCTCGATACCTTTTTCGATATAATATTCTTTCCAATCAGTTTTTACGTCAATCATGCCGAATCTTGCTATTTGTACCAGTCTTTCTAGTTCTAACTCTACTTCATCACTTACTGAAAGGAATTTCGGAGAATCTTTTACAAATCTTCCGTTAATTTGGATTTCTGAGCTTCCAAGACCGATTTCTTCCTTGTAATCTTGCATCTTCCTTATTTCTTCCATGTTGTATGCTGTATCTTGCGTGGAATTCAATTCTTCCCACTTAATTGAGGGAAATGCTTCTTTAAAAGCTTTTCTGTAGTTGCCATCCTTTAAACCAGTGTACAAATACAATATAGAACCTCTCATTGACAATGTATTACGAATATGATAGAATCCAAGCATGATTTGTTCTTCTTTTGGATTATTTCGTTGTGCAATTGGATAAAGATTCAAAGTCATCTGCATATCTTTCTTTTCCATCTCAAACGCGTAGTTTATGAGCGCTAGAGCTTCAGGAGATGAAATATCAAAAAATATATTTACACGAATTTTGTCTGTAGGTGTTGCTAACAAACCAACATGAGAAGATAAGTCTAATGATTGCGGTATTGGCTTCTCATGGTACTTTTCTGAAGGATTTAACAAAATACAGCCTAAACTTATGTCTGGCTGCCTTGTATAGTGGTTTGTTGTGTAGAAATTCAATCCGTGAGATATGTTTTTGAATACTCCGGATGGTAAATGTAAGTTTTTGACAGTTGTTTCATAAAATTTTGTCTCATCAATAATAGCACGAGAAATACTGTAGTAATCATGCTTGACTTGTTGACCATTAACAAGAACAAAAGGATTTGATTGAGGAAGAGCTCTTTCGTACTGATTTTTCACGTAATTATCGACAGACATTTCACTTAAGACTGGAAGATATACGGATAACTTATTTAGCATATCTTTTATGAATAATATCCTTTCCATTGAGTCTTTAAAACGTGAAAATGAAGATAAAATTTTCATTTTTATGTTATTTCTATCGTAATCTGGTGCGTCTTGAGTTGCAAATATACCCCATCCTTTACTTTGATGAGAATTTGTTGTAATATTGTATTTAGTACTTGATTTTGGTTTATAAAATTTTGAATGAAGAGAAAAATTAAGGAGATTTATCCATGGATGTGGTAAAATTTGCTGTGAATAGTTAATAACATCAGAAATAGTTGTGATTTTGTGATTGTCGAATAATTGTTTCATTTCATATGAATAATAAGGACAATTTTCATCGACAAAAGTAAATGTTTCTGCTTCAATCGTCGAATCGAAACCTTCTGCTATCATGTTTACTGTTTTTGATGATAAAGCAAGTTTCGAAATCAAAAAGAAAAGCATTTCAAAAATACTGGATAAAAAAAAGTGAAAACTGCAAAATATCATTAAACATAATTTTACCATGTCATTCGCGTTTTTATTAGGAATAAATGCAATTTCATACATTAATATTGAAGAATAATTCATTTCGAAAGGATCAAATTTATCTATTCATTGATTAGGGATTTTTATTGCATACTATTAATAATACGATCATAGATATAGTGACTGATATGCTTCTGCTTATAAAACTGATTTTTCCCATTATTCTACTATATAAAACAGTCGATTTTTAGTGTCTGTAATTTTTCGAAATTTTCTGATATTTTAAGGGTACACTTACGCCTATCTGACTTTTATTCAAAATTATAGCAATTTGCTTGATGCATCATTGAAAATTAACATCATACACCAATATTAAGGATTCTTAATGATTGTTTATTATTAAAATTTGCAAAATTTATTCCAATGTAACAAGTCAAGTTGTTTCAACCAAAGATTCTTGGTAGATTTAAAAAAATAAAGATAAGACAATTGTATATATTAAAGTAAGAAATTTATAAACAAAATATTCTATAAATAAAAATTAAAAATTAAATTTCGTTGACATTAATTGTTATCTCATTCTTTTGACCTTTGAAAGCAGCATCAACAGCATGATTAATTGCAGTTGGACTGACTTTCACGAAGGCCTTCTTCAGTCTACTTTTAACAGGTTGTGGGTTAGGGATATTCACTACAACACTTGATTCCTCGAATGTTTTTGTCAAAGCTTTATTTGCCTGATTTATCTGAGCAATTGGTCTTGGACATCCATAAGCAGATTTAGGTCTTTCCTGGGCCAATACCTGTGCAACCATCTTCTTTTTATCCATAGGTTTAACAGACCATGTATTTGTTTCTTCATCGTATTCAGCGTTGTCTTTTATTCTCTTTACATCTCCTTCAGGAATGAAATTATCAACAATTTGAGAATAAAAATCTGATTTCTTTCCAAGCATCAAAAGATGCTCAGACATTTGTTCTCTATCAGCGTTGATTGTCTTAGGAACTTCTTGCATCATGATCTTTAAGTTCTTATATATCTCAACGCATTGATTATATTCGGCTTGGACATTTTCCATGTTTTGTTCCATTGAATGTAATTCTGCATTAACTTTATCTTGTTTGGCCTGACTTTCTGCAAGTTCACTCATCATCTTTTTGGCCTTTTCTTCACGTGCTGCGAGTTTTGCTTTGGCTTCTCTGATTTGTTGTTCGTTTTGCGCTGTTTTCGCAATTAATTGAGAAGTATTCGAGTTTTCCAAAGCGTGTTTTAACTCATCTAGCTTCTTTTGGTATCCTTCTCTCTTTTCTTTCTCGTTTTCTATCTGTTTCTTCCTTTGTTCCATCTTTTTCATCAACTCATCTCTTTCTTTTTGGGCCATGTTGCTTTGTTTCGCTACTGCCTCGCGTTCTTCTTCAAGTTTCTTCTCCATGGCGGCAATGACATCATCTGTGGCACCCATTTGTGCATCCAGTTGGTTCTTTTGGTTAATTTGAGATTCTAATGCTTCTAATTCGTTCTTTAATTGAAGAAGTAAAGCATCTTTTGGATCCATGTTAACTGTTGGTTTGTTCTCGATCTTCTTGGCACGTTCTGCATAACGTAATGTTGACATTGTTTCGGAGAAATTATAATCTGCGGGACCAAGGGCCGCAATCATCATCGTACGAGCATTTCCACCAAGGGAATCTCTAAGAAGCATAGTAAGCTTGGAATCTCTGTATGGAATGTGAGTATTTCCTTTTGATGTTAAAGCAGCGATACAATTACCAAGAATCATAAGCTCGTAGTTGATATTGACACCTTCTGTGAATCCTACACCTTCTGCACCGGTTTTGGCTACACGTTCTGACCCTGCAAGATCGACAAGATTTAATCTGGCAGAACGAACATGATCTTGGCCATCAATCTGCTTAAGAGTTTCTACAGTTACTGTAAAGATGGAGTGGGAGCGAGAACTCTCGGAGTTCATTTGGGTTTTACGAACAACTCTGTTTTTCTTACCGTAGTTTAACAAAGCATGTATTTCTTCGACATCTTTAACTTTGTGAACAGCTACACCTTTGATTTGAACACCATGAGTAGGATCTTCACGTATTTTTAATTTTTCGTTGGATTTTTCTGATAAAAGATCACGCAATTCATTGTTGTAAATCTCGACATATGTAACTGTAACTAAAAATTCTGTGTCAGCTGAATTAGCTTGAATATATTCGAAGATATGATCAAATGCACGAGGCATGATACCTCTCAATTCACCAGTCGGCTTGCCATCCATAGAGAATGTCTTTCCAGTACCTGTTTGGCCATAAGCAAAAATAGTTCCATTGTATCCTTCAAGAACACCATTTACAATTGGCATTGCTGTTGCATTATAAACTTCTTCTTGCGAAACATCCTCTGGAAAGCAAAAATCAAATGAAAATTGAATATATTGACCTTGAGGATTCTTGATTCTGACTGTTGAATTTTTTTGATCGATTTCTACAACCTTAGAAAAGCCAGAGTCTATTTCTTTTTGAGACATTGGCCGAAGACGCACTGAAACTTTAACTGCCTCTCGATCTTTAGCATTGTTAGGAGGCATTGTTCAATGTTTTTGTAAAATTGAATTCAAAAAAAAAAGTAGAGACCATCTATGTGCACAACATTAATTTATTCGTTTTCATCGAGCATTGAAAAAATTAATATTGATATAAAAATACGTTACAAAGCTTACCCGATAAACTTTATAATGATTGCCTTTGAAATAAAATCCCTTATCTTACATATAGATGGCGCTTTTTTAAGCAAAGCTTTGATTACCATTCATAAAAATGTTAATCCGCTTCAAAATTTCGATGTATTCTTTCCTTTATGAATGATAATCCAATGAATTATGCATCCAGAGCCTAAGAGTAGTAATGTTTCCTTTTCCTTTAAATGTATTCTCTCAAACTTTTCGTTATATTTTTCATTGTCTCCTATAGATTTATTATATGACATTTATGATACAAAACTTTATTTGAATGTGGCGATTTATGTTCTAATGAAATGCATTGGCATTTGCGTGTCTCAAAAACATTTCCAAAATAAGGCGAAATTCAATATATTAATAAATGATCAAGTTGACAAGTTCAGAGAATATGTTACGTAGTATTCTTTAGAGAGTATTTCGATCAGAATACCTTACTTTATAACAATGGATCCTATTGAAGCATGTTGTTTTATTGGATATGTGAACGTTTTCTTTTTCCCAATTTCAAATTATAGGGTGTCAGGAAACATAGTGCACGTCTTAAGACCTGATAATTATATAAACAATCTTATTTGAGATTCAAAAACTTTATACACAATAACATTCTATATTTTTAATATGGAACCATAGATCCTATAATTAGCTGAGCTAGTTAAAAATTTCTCTTAAAAATCGATGCAGATGTCAATACAAGTGATGAAAATGGAACAACAGTTCCAATTGTGCTGTAAATAACAGTATAGAAGTAGCAGAACTCCTTATATAACATGGTGCAGATATCAACGCAAAAGATAAAGAAGGGAAAACACCGCTTTATTTGGCAGCAGAAAAAAACAAAAATTTGATTGTCCAGTTTTTTATGTCACATGATGCAGATATCAATGCATAAGATTAAAATGGAAAGATTGCTGTCAATCTTGCAGCTGAAAAAATCATAAGAAAATTTGAGATTTATTGGATTTATCAGACAATTCTCAATTTTTCCCCCTTATTTCCAATTCAAATAAATCTTATTCTAAATAATATGAAATGTTATATTTATTAAGGGTGCACCCGCATGTACGTTTATTTGAGAGGAGGAGGATTACCCTCTCAATTTTGAAAGCTTCGTTAGCGCAATATCTCGATGAATATTGGATTAAAATTGAATTTGCCCATACCAATATATCTGATACAATATCCTTAAGTTTTACTAAAAAGAATTTTTTAAAATCCCTGCAGATTCGGGGATTTTTAAATTTTTTGATTTTTTTCGAAAATTTTTCAAAAAAAAAATATTTTCAGAAGAGCCTTAACGGCTAAGTTTTATGTTTAATGTTGAGTATCAAAAAGAATGGGCATCTGATATAGCCATCATATATCCCAGAAGCAAATAAAAATTCTGACTTTTTAAGCATAAAAAATGAAATTTTATTTTTTGCAAAAAACAGGCCACCTGGATGTACGTTTATTTGAGAGGAGGAGGATTAAATTTTTGAAAGCACTAAAATTTGTAAATATTCTAGTTATATAATAATATGTATTATTTTAAAAAATAAAAATTAAAGCACGTTAAAATCTTTTTTGATGAATTTTTACAAAAGCTACTCAGGATAAAAAAAAAAAAAAAAAAAAAAAAAAAGGTAGTGGGGCTTCCAGGCACTTCGTGCCCTCTAGCCCCCCGTCACTTTTCTGTCACTTTTCAGGAAAAAACATTTTTATTATATATATAAAATGAATTTTACAAAACCACCGTTACCCTTCTTTGGAAATAAGAGTAGATGTAAAGATATTCTATTGAGAGAACTTAAGAAACTACCGAATGGTCTAACATTTGTAGACTTGTTCGGTGGAAGTTTCTATATATCTCATTTGTGCCATACAATATTTCCTGACTCAAAGATTATATGCAATGACTTCGACAACTATATGAACCGTCTCAAACATATACCAGACACAAACAAAATATTGAAAGAGTTAAAAGAAAAGATACCTATAGGTAAGATGGAACGTATACCATTAGATAAGAAAAATACTGTCAGAGAGGTTTTGAAAAAGGCAGAGTATATTGACTGGGATAGTATATCTGCTAGACTATTATATAGTGGTGCTATAAGAGTTCATGACATTGAAACACTTATGTCAAAAGTTTTATATCTTAACTATACAAATGTTTTCAAAGAGAACATAGAAAAATATATTGAGGGTATAGAGTTTGTGAGATGTCATTGGACAGAGTTGTATGAAAAATATAAAGACAAGGAAAATGTTTTCTTTATAGTAGACCCGCCGTTCTATAACACATACGATTTTCAATACCAAGTAGACTGGACTTTGAGAGACTCTTTAGAAACTTTAGACGTTTTACATAACCATCCATGCTTTTACTTTACATCCGATAAAAGTGGTTTGGAAAGTGTCATGAGATGGTTAGAGGACATACATGACTATGAGTTTAGATACGATAAGATAGAATATGAGAGAGGTCCTATAAACTGGAGAAAGTGTCATAACAAAGAAATTTTACTAGTAAGTAAATGTGGTTTGAAATAGGACTACTTGTTTTAGGTTTTTTCCATTGTGTCATTTACTTATTTGACGTGGCAGAAAGATATAGAGAATATGAAGATGAACCAATGCCTGCAAATGTTCAGCATATGTACTCGTAAGAGATATTTTTATCTAATATTAAATGGACTCACAGAACTTAGCGAATGCACAGCAACCTGGACAACCAAACCCAGAGAATATTCCAAATGAAGTTAGAATACAAACTGCAATGGCAAACTATGGTCAAGTGCCAACAGATGTACAAATGCAAACTGCCATGTCAAATGACGCTGCGTTAGGTTTGCCACCATGGTATGCAAATATGAGATGGAAAGAGTTTTATACAAACCCCGAAGTGGGATATAAACAACTCTATGCAGATGACGCGAACACAGGAGTTGACCCAGAGTATGTTTTCTACCAGAGGAGAAATAGAATGTATGAGCTCCAGTTAAAGAATGCTATGGAACTCAACAGGAAACGTAAGAGACTAGGTGGACATTAGATTTTTACATATAGTAAAATGGGTTTCTTTGGAAGAATAGGAAACTTCTTTCGAAATGTTGGAAGAGGTATATGGAATGGAATAAAATCTGTCGGAAGAGGAATTTGGAACGGAGTCAAAAATATTGGTAAAAGAGTAGGTCAGTTCGTTGGTATTATACCTAAAGACCCTGAACCAGAAGAGCAAGCTCCTGTTATACAACAGCCTGAACCTACACCACAGTCTAGTTGGCAACCAAATCCAACACCTCAACCGTATTAAAAAATTATATTTTTACCGTTCGATAGTAGTTGTATATGAAACTAAGTTCTAAGTAAAACGCATGGTATAATGGAATTATTCTCTTTCTTCCATCTGTAGTAAACCATACTTGAAAGTCTGAAATACTTCCACTTGGTGGTTCGTATAGCTTTGTAGGTTTTTCGTAAAAGTCATTCATCAGACATAAGAAAGAGTTTTGCGCACCAGAAAATGAAGCATGAACTATAATAGCATCTGAGTCGAAAACATTTTCATATGTTCCATTAGGGTTTTCGACTTCATAAAAGTTCGGGTGTACTGGATATTCTGCAGGCTGATTTAACATCCTCAAAAATCTATACCATGCCAAGTTGTTATATTTTGTAGAAATATAAACGTCTTCTCCAAGGTCTTCTATTCTATTGATTTTAACAGTTGCATTTTTCCTGTCATAAACAATATCGAGATGGTACTCTCCCTCGTCAATGTTATACTGGTTTGCATATTCGATATAGATATCGTTTATTTTTTCTTGAAAAGCTTGAAGAGTTGTTTCTAAGTTTACAAGCAAATTCACTTGTAAAAGTTTTCCCTGTTCAAATTTCTCATACGTACGTTTTTCTTTGTTATAGTATCGAACTTCAAAAGCGACCGTAAATGGGAAACCATGTATGGCTTCTGAAATGAACTTCATTCTACGAAAGCCAATAGCTTTTGTGACGGATGGGTCTCTTAGCCATCTCAATGGGTAGTCAAAACGATAGCCTTCATGCTTTACGGTCTCTGTCTCAAACTTTTGACCGACATTCGTAAAAAGTTCATCTAATGGTTTAGTTGTAGCAACTCTTGAATTTTCTTTTTCTATTGGAAGCATATTTTATCTAGAATAAAAATGTCAAATGAAACAGCGTCTATGAGAGAAATACAACACAACCGACAACTCATTATGCAAGCTCTAAATAAGAACACAACAAACTTTTCAAACTATTCTAAGATATCTGAGTCATTGAAAGAAGGAAACTTAAAACTGACGATAAACCCAATGACAGATGAGTTTCTGTTTCAAGACAGTAAGAACCATACTGTTTGTATAAATCCAACAAAAAGAACTTTAAACGAGAAACCTATAGATGAACTTCTTTTGAAGGCAGATATTGACAACAAAGCTGACAAAGAGTATGTAGATGCAACAAGAGACTATATTCTCGCATGGACAGATAGAACATACCCACAAAAACACCATACACATAACATCTATGACGTAGATGAACTACCAGCAATGTTAGATGACAAAGCGGATAAAACATATGTTGACAATAAAATGTCAAGTGAAGTGACAAGAGCTGACAAAGAATATTCTAAAAAGACTCATACACACGATTTCTTCGCAACTGTTGGTATAGAAAATATTGCAGGAACGGTTGAAGAACCTGATGGAACTGGTGGGGATGTACTACTTTGGAAACCTCCTAACTTTCCACAAGGTTTAACATCGGATGAAGACATAACGACGATGAAATACACTAGATGTAGAAATGTCTATGTCATGGAGGATGAAAACAAAGTTAAATTCACTGCTCAAGATTTATATGACAACAAAGCTGACAAAACATATGTTAACGTTGAGTTAGATAAAAAAGCTGACAAAACATATGTTAACGATGAGTTAGTTAAAAAAGCTGACAAAACAGAGCTTCAAACGTTAAAGACAGAAATACTTCAAACAGTATATCCTATAGGTTCTATTTACACGTCAATGAACTCTACCAGACCAGAAGTAGTACTTGGTTTTGGAACTTGGACTCAAATAGTCGACAGGTTTTTGTATTGTGCAAACTCTTCAAAGGAAACAGGTGGAAGTAAAACGATTTCAGGTGAAAACTTACCTGCACACAGTCACTACATAGATTTAAGTACAGCTGAAGCAGGTTGGCATAAACATAGATTTTGGGATTGGTCAGCAATGAAAAAAGGTAAAGGATACGATGTTAAAGACGACGTTCAGTTTGCTATAAATTGTTACTGGGATGACACTCAGGGAGAAGGAAACCATACACATTTCGTTTCAGGATATACACAAACAACGGGACAGAGTAAAGACTACATGCCACCTTACATGACAGTTTACGCATGGTATAGAATTGCTTAGTCGTCATTTTCAACTTCTTTAGCATATTCGTCAGGAGTTGTCTTATATTTGTTAGGAACTGTCTTTGAAAGTATACCACCTTGAACTTTGACAAGTTTGAAACGAGGTCTGACAATAGTAGTTTTATCTTCTGCTTGCAGTCTGTACATTTTGCCATGTTTGCCTAAAACTTCATAATATTCTCTTGTATACTTTCTTCTATTTTTACGAACACGAACGTGAGTACCTGTCGAGTTCCCATTGTTGTCATAGTCAATAGTATTTTCATATGGGTCGCGTTTAGGTATTTCTATTTTTACTTTGTCACCTTTCTAAGTTTGAAGCCTGGCATTCTTTCTTGTTTGTCTCTTTTGACTAAACTATTAAATATATAGTCTTTCTCTAAGTCGGGTTGTTTTTCATTTCTTGGGGAGTGGTTTCCCAAACCTTTTTGTTTACGGCTATTGTAAATATTTAAAACTTGTCTCATCTTTGCCATGGAGAAATGTCTATACTTGTCGTCATATGACATTTCATCTACCTCGCCGCCTTGTGGTTGGTTTAAGTCTCTTAAGATTTTTATACAACTGTCAATGACACCAAGAGCAGAATGGTTTTGGTCGACAATGAAATATTGGTTTACATTTTTTGAACGCAGATAGTTTTTTACATCGTCTGATTTGAAAGAACTTTCACAGTCAGATGTCAGTTTTGTTGGATGGTATTTGTCAACAAATATTGTCAAAGCTGCTAAGATATCTAAAATATTTTTGGACTGTAATGGTATGGCTTCACAGTATCTTGTGTTTTGACCGACAAATATTAGCCAGTATGGTGGTCCATCTTCTCTATACCTCGGAATGTTTTCCAAGATATCCATAAACCAAGCATTTGGTGTTGAACTAAAGATTTTTATCATGAGTGCTTTCTTTGTCGCTTTAGAAACATAGGGGTCCTTGTTTGGATTCGTCATTTTTTACCCTATAAGAAATGGGTTTATTTGGCGCATTAGCAGGAGTTGCATCCAGATTTTTGCCCGCAGTGGAACAATAGCCAGAGGTGCATTTGGAATTGGAAGGAAGATTTTGAGTACATTAGGTATACTGAAAGAGAAAGCACAACCTATTATACAAACTGTACAGAAAGGTTGGAGGTAGCACGAGATGCAACAAATCTTATTCCAAATCCTGAAACAAGAGGAAAAGTTCAAGGATGGATGGACAATGTAGGAAGACAAGCAGGAAACTACTATAACAAAGCAAATGACTACTATAACCAAGCAGGGCACTATATGGACCAAGGTGAAAGATTCTTTAACAGAGGATATAACCATGCACAACAATGGGTAAACAACAACCAACCGCAACCACCTCAAACGTGGGGAATGTAAATTTTTTTACTGAGATGAAATGAACAATACAGCATTGAGACAAATGGGCTCAAGATGGATTTGTCGGCTTCCAGCAGTTACACAACCACGTGTTTGTCAAGTCCTCCCTATACCTCAGGAAGTTTTAGACCGACTTAAAAAACCTAAACAACCAGTTGAAAACAAACCAAACTAAAATTTTTTACTGAGATGAAATGACCGAAGAAGTTGAAACGGTAGATTTGACACCACAAACAAAAAGTTCAGAACCATTGTCAAAACCTGTCAAAGAACTTACAGATGAAGAGAAAAATTCAATAATAGAAAGTGCCAGGTCTGGAAATACAAACCCTAACTACAAAGTCACTTTTCATAGAAATGGAACGGCTAGTATCTCAAAAAAGAAACAGACTCTCACAAATAAAATATTGAAGTCTGAAGGAGTTTATGAGACAACAGATGGAAAAGTATATTTTACCGACGAACAGTTCATTATAGAACATCTCATTGACTTAGAGTCGAAATATTCTAAACTTTACAACAAACACAAAAAGTTGAAAGGAAAACAAAAACAAATGGCATATGATATTTACGAAGATACTAACGACACAACCATACCTGCAAGTGAAGTAAAGTCAGAGGAACCGAAAAGTGACGAAAAACCAATAGAAGAAGGGAAGCCAAAAACTGAAGATAAACCAAAACCAAAGTTTAGTTTGGAGACTAAACCAAGTCAACCTTCATTAGCTGGTATGGGTTGGCGTCAAAGACTTTTGGTAGCTGGTGGCTATGTTAAGTAAAAGGAAAACAGTATATTTTTCAAAAAAATATATTTTTTTATTTTATTTGAAATGTACGCTGGTTTGTTGGAACAGACCGTTGGGAAACTTGTTTGTTAGATGAGAAATATGAAATTCACTGTTGTGAGTCATTTGAAGTCAGAAACAAAAAGACAAAAAGAGTTTTAAGCGGATGGGAGCGAAATGACGGATATGCTAATATGAAGATGAGTGGAAAAAACTATTTTAAACATGTTGTCATTGCAACTCATTTTATACCGAACCCTAACAATTTACCTTTTGTAGACCATATAAACCATATAAGAAACGACAATAGACTTGAAAACTTGCGTTGGGTCACTTGTTCTGAAAACAATAAGAACATAGGCAAATTTCGAGATATTGTATTCGAATTTGTCGACGAACTAGAAGATGAAGCAATTGAAATTACAGACTATGGCGAGCATACGTTTGAGTTTTACTACTATAGCGAAGAACAAGACTCTTTCTACTTTTATACCGGCGTAAACTATAGGAAATTACAAGTATGTTTTACTAAGGCGGGCTATGCTCATGTAAACGCTAGAGATACAGATGGAAAATACGTTCAAATACATCTTAACAAATTCAAGAAGCTATATGGCATACCATTTTAAAATATTTTTTTATTTTTATAAAAATGCCCCCGTATAGAATGGATAGAAGGTCTGCTAGAATAAAAGCAGAGTTAGAAAGATATGGTTGGAAAGTTTCAAAGAAGTTTAAATATAGGAAGGGAAGACCCATAAAAGTCTATGACAAACTGGCTGGTCTGACCTATGAAATGGACTTGGAAACAGCACGCGCAAATTATCCAAACAGGTTAGAGAGGTTAGAAGAAGAACGTCTTATGGACATGCCTTTCGATGTTACTGAGCCACAGGTTGAAGGACACGACGGCTTTGCCAGATTCTACTGGAAACATGACGAACAATTGCATCCTTTGAGGAGGAAAAAAGGAAAAGGTGAAGACGCACATGCTCCCATGGAAAGAACAAGATATGCATATGAAAAGTACCGTGAAGTTAGAAGTAAAATTACTTCTGGTCGAACCTTTACAGTTAACTTTGACGAAGGAAAGAACAAAGAAGGCTTCATGGGTGTACTTGCTGCCATACAAGATGGAAATAAGAAAGGATACAATCTCAGACTAACCGTAACAGATTTAGATGGTCATATTTACTATGCACATGGCAATGTCACAACAGCTGCAATGCTTCTTGACGCTTTCAAGACTACAAAGAGAGAACAAATGGTTGACTCCGACTCAGACATTTTGAATGCAATTGAAGGAATTGTAAGCGTGAAGTTCGAATGGTACCAACCTAACCCTCAAGCAGTCAGACAACATGCTGGATACTTCCCGTTCATAAATAAGTCTGACATTGACTTGACAAGGTATGGAATTTACAATTCAATTGAAACAATTGTCAATGAACCTTGCATTCTTACATGTCTCAGGAACTCTGGTCTTGTTTCAGAAGAGAAGATGAAGTATCTTGAGTCATGTGTGAAGACAAGGTACATTCTCAGAGGTCAATTGGCAAAAATTGCACCGTTGGCAAATGTCAATATCCGAGTCAACATACCTACAGCTAAAGGTTCTTCACATGACGACTATGTTGTTGACAAAGACTTACCATGGTTGAAGATTGTAATTGTCCACAACCACTTCATGTTGAACGAAAGTCTTACAAACCCATTTTTCGGAAAAGTAAGTGCAACATTGTCAGAGCTGTTAACATTCTTTTCGAGAAAGGTTTGTTGGAACCAATTCCAGATGACAAGCTGACAGAAACTTTTGTACCAAAAGACGAAACAAACTTTTCATTGTTAGCAAGACCAAAAGTTGTTCCAGACAAAGTTCTAGTACAAAAGAAGTACACAATTCCAAAAGGAGTTGGATTGTTCGGATACCAACCTGAACCAGAAGAACTTCCAATGAGGTTGCAAGAACTTCAAGATGCTATAAACAAACTTCCATTGAGACATCCAATTGACGTCAAATTGTATTGGAGAGCTTCTGAGTTAGGTCAGAAGGTTTTATATGAAACAGGTTGCTTCGACGATGTTTATGAGATAACAGGAGAAGTTTCTCAGAAGATAAGAGACTCACTTGAATTTCCAAACTGGACCATTGGTTGCGACAAGTTCGACTCAGATGAAAAAATATACTATGTCGACCTTAACGCTGCATACATGAGGTTCGTCCAATATATCCCGACTGGAATTCCAAACGAAGATGGTGAGTTCCCAGGAAGGAACTATACAGTTGGAAAAGTCATACAACAACTGTATGATATTAGGAAAGCTTCAAACCCCAAACTTGCAATGACACTCAAATTGCTTATGAATTCGACATGGGGATATTCCATTAAGAAACCTCAAGAGATGAAGAGTAAACATTATGAGAAGGTCGACAACTTTGTTGAAAGGTTTTCTCCTTTTGTTTTGAAGTACGAATTCACTCAAGGTCAAAGTGGCTTAGTAACCACATTAAAACCTATTGTCGAACATTGGTCTTACCCTCAGTTCGCAAAGGCAGTCCTTGACAACTACAACAAATTCTTCTCCGAAGTCAAATCCAAAGTGAAGGTTTACTATGAGAACATTGACGCACTCATGACGAACGAAGAAGGCTATAACAAACTCATTGAAATGGGAATGGTCGGTGAAAAGATGGGTCAATTCAAATTGGACAAAATTTTCACCGAAGTTCATGTCCTCTCCAAGCGTAAGTACTGGGGCATACTTGAAGACGGCACAGAAATAAAACATTGCATGAAGTAAAAAATTTTTATTCGAATTTGAATCGGACAGGTCGAGTTACACCA